AGGGAAATTAAATAGACCTGACATGTAAATGCACTACTGAAACCTGGACTGGATCGTTTTCTGGAGAGTAAAAAAAGATATTATTGCATCTACTGACAAAATTATAATATGATAAGGAGATATTAGATAAAAATTACTGTATCAAAGTTAAATTTACTGAGGTTGATAACTACTATGGTTATATGAGATTACTATCCTCCTTAGAAAACCTTTTAACAAACATACACATATGAACATACACACAGACATATATATGTATACATAAATATATATACATATATATTGAAGGGGGAAGAAGGGAGAACATGCATATAAGATAGTACACAAATATAAAATATTAATAGGTGATGTCATGATGCCATTTTACTTTTTTTAATGATTTTTCTTTTTTTTAAGATTTTATTTATTTATTTGACAGAGAGAGAGAGAGCACAAGTAGGCAGAGCAGTAGGCAGAGGGAGAGGGAGAAGCAGGCTCCCTGCTGAGCAAGGAGCCTGATGCAGGGCTCGATCCCAGGACCCTGGGATCATGACCTGAACCAAAGGCAGAAACTTAACCGACCTAGCCACCCAGGAGCCCCTAAAGATTTTTTTTTTTTTAAGATTTTATTTATTTGACAGAGGGAGACACAGCGAGAGAGGGAACACAAGCAAGGGGAGTGGGAGAGGGAGAAGCAGGCTTCCTGCTAAGCAGGGAGCCCCATGCAGGGCTCGATCCCAGAACCCTGGAATCATTACCTGAGCTGAAGGCAAACAGTTAACGACTGAGCCACCCAGGCACCCCTAAAGATTTTATTTTTATGTAATCAGTACACCCAACATGGGGCTTGAGCTCACAGCCCCAAAGAGTTGCATGCTTTGGGGCACCTGGGTGGCTCAGTCATTAAGCGTCTGCCTTCGGTTCAGGTCATGATCCCAGGGTCCTGGGATCAAGCCCCACATCGGGCTCCCTGCTCGGCCAGGAGCCTGCTTCTCCCTCTCCCACTCCCCCTGCTTGTGTTCCCTCTCTAGCTGTCTCTCTCTCTGTGTCAAATAAATAAATTTAAAAAAAAAATCTTAAAAAAAAAGAGTTGCATGCTTTACTGACTGAGCCAACTAGGTGCCCCTGATGCCATTTTATAATAACATATATGCCATATATTTTTCCACATACATGTGTATGAAACGGATATAAAGGTGTCCTTTGTATTATTTTTATTTTTGCAAATTTTCTGTAATTTTGAAGTAATTTCCAAATGTCAAGTCAAAAACATACAGGATGAAGCCGACTTCTGAAAATGGCAGCAGACTGAATTAGTCACAAGAACCCCTGCAGAAAACAATGATAAAACTGGAAAAAAATACAATAAATAATTACTTCAAGTCACTGGAAAACACCCAGAAGTGACTAGAAGCTGGCTGGAGTAAAGGGTTCACACTAAAAAAACTGCATTAAAAAGGGAGGGGTAAGAATTTTCTTGCTACAGAGCACTCCCAACACACACAACTACAGCAATGGAGAAATACCACTGCCTTATGGGCTCAAGGTGCCATGGGTTAGGATTCAGAGAAGGAACAGAAGCTCCAAATACGTGTTAAGAATAGAAGGAAATGGGGCGCCTGGCTGGCTCAGTCGGTGGAGCACATGACTCTTGTCCTGGGGTTGTAAGTTCGAGCCCCATGTTGGGTGTGGAGATTACTTAAAAATAAAATCTTAAAAAAAAGGAGAATAGAAGGAAATGTACAGTCTCAAATCCTTATATTAGAAAAGAAAGAAACCTAAAAAGTAACAATGTTAAGCATCCATCTTAAAAATCTGGGGAAAAAATAGTAAAATAACCCCAAAGTAAGAACAGAAAGAAAATATTAAATAGAAGTTCAAACATAATACATACAATAGACATGATGAACAAACAAACAAAAAAAGGCAAAATAAACAGATGAAACAGTTGTCTTTATATGAAACTCCAAAGAATATACACAGGACAAATTACAGAATTAATTAAACCACTCAGCAAGGCTGCTGGTATATGCTCATTATGATCAAATGAATTTTAGTTCTACATTTTAACAAAAAATTATAAAAATTTAGTTTTTAAAAACGTTAACTCTCAAAAAAAAGTAACTCTCAAAACAACAAAAAAATAAGCCTATGTATAAATTTAAAGAAAGATGTATATTTACATTATAAATTATAAAACCTTGCAAGAGGTAGTGATAAGGATATATTAACAAATAAGTAAAAGAAGACACCACACTAAGAGAAAGACTTAATATTCTAAAAGATGTCAATTCTCTCTAAATTAATGAATATATTAATATATGTATATTATTGAATATATAAATGCAATGCAACTACAACAAAATCCTGACAGGAGACTTTATGAAATATGACAAGCTGATAATAAAAGCCCACTGGGCTGAAGCTACAGAGACAGAATAAGACAGGAAGACTTACCCTACCAGACACTAAGACTTATTATAAAGCTATAGGAAATTAAAACAGTGTGATATTGGTGCAGGCATAAGCAGATACGGCAATGGAATAAAAGAGTTCAGACACTGATCCAGGCATATACTGAAATTCAAAATACGAGAGGTGGCATTAAAAATTGGGGAAAATGATGAATTATTCAATGGGGCCCAGTCTGATAGTGACGTGTTTAGAAATCTATAAAAATAGACCCACATCTCTCAAGACACACAAAATCAATTCCAGACAGATTAAAGACCTAAGTTGTAAAAAGCAAAAATATTTTTTGATTTAAAGAAGAAAATCTAAATAATGTCTTTATGATCTTGACAGAGGGAAGGAATTCTTAAATCAGACAGACACACATACAGACAACACAAAAAAATTTGACAAATCCAAACACATTAAAATTTATGAAATTATTATTAAAGGCCATTAAAACATGGGGTAAATTTCATAACACTCTTGAAATGAAAGTAATGGGAAACAGATCAGAGGTTGCCAGAGGTTAAAGGTGGAGGGCAGCATGAAGGAGTTTCTTTCTAGTGGTGGAACGTTCTGTATCCTTACTGTGGCGGCACTTACATCAATCTATGTAAGTGACAAAATTTCACAGTACTATGCAACAACAAAAGAGTACATGTAAAAACTGATGAAATCTGAATCTGATTAAGGTCTGTAGATATAATAGTATTGTACCAATGTCAACTTCCTGGTTTTGAAATTGGAGAAAGCTGGGTAAAGAATAGATGGGAACTTGCTGTATTATTTTTACAAACTGAGACTTAAATTATCTCAAAATTAAACAACTTTTTATTTATTTTTTAAAAGATTTTATTTATTTGAGAGAGAGTGACAGAGATATCAAGAGAGAGCAGAGTGGGGAGGTGGGGGAGAAGCAGGCTCCCCGCTGAGCAGGGAGCCCAACATGGGGCTCAATCCCAGACCCTGAGATCATGACCTGAGCCAAAGGCAGACACTTAGCCACCTGAGCCACCCAGGCGCCCCAAACAGCTTTTTATAAAGCAGGTAGGCAGTCCACAGATTGGAAGAAGATAGACATAATACATTTAATGGACAAAGGAATCATTTCCAGGATTTATTTAAATACTTCTACAAATGAACAAGAAAAAGAAAAGCAGGCTAGAGATCTGAAGAGGAAATTTGCAGAAGAGGAAACATCAATGCTAATCAACCTAGGAACATAGGAAAAGATGCTCAAACTCAATGCTGATTACATTAAAACTAGTGTGAGAAGCCATTTCATACCCAAAGGATGGTTAGAAACATAACTCTTTGTTATGGCAGCCTTGCAAACTAATGAAACAACTGTTGAGAGCAATTTGGCATTACCTAGGCAGGATGAACAAGTGCACGCTCTTTGATTCAGCTACTCTACTCCTACGCATCTATCTTAGAGAAACGAGGGCTTATATGCCCAAGGACACATGTATTAGAATGTTTATAGTTATAATTTTTTTAAGATTTTATTTATTTCAGAGAGAGAGAGTGCACACAAGCAGGGGAAGGGGCAGAGGGAGAGTGAGAAGCAGACTCCCTGCTGAGCAGGGAGCCTGGCGCGGGGCTCGATCCCAGGACCCTGGGATCATGACCTGAGCCGAAGGCAGACGCTTAACCAACCAAGCCACGCAGGTGCCCCTATAGTGCATTCTTTAATAGCCAAAATTGGTAAAAACATAGACGTCCAACAAAATAAAATGGATAAATGAATTGTAATTACACGTATAATACAATAAATACTATATAGTAGTGAAAATAAATGAACCAGAACAACATATATCAACATGGGTTAATCTTACAAACTCAGTGTCAGTGGAGAGAGCAAACTACAGGAGGATATACATAATATGATGACATTAATGAAAGTTTAAAAATGTCAGACAATACCGTAGATGGTTGAGGGATTCACATATATGAAGTAAAGCAAAAGGCCAAGCATAAGATTTATAAATCCCTAACTTTGAAAAAACAGTTCCCTTTGGGCATGGTGTGGGGAGGCAGGGGAAATAGGAACTTCAATTGTTTAGGTAATGCCTTATTTCTTAAGCTGGGATGTTGGCTCATGAGGACATATTTTTTCATTATTCATAGCTTGCTGTAATCTTAATTACTAAGTAACATATTTTTTAAGTTATGGGAATTGGAAAGGTAGAATTAATCAATTACATCTCACCTACGGGAAACTAGAAAGTATCTGAAGGGTGGCACACTTAATGTCCATAGGACAGACGTAGTTTTTAAGATCAAGAGAAGAGAAAGAAGCCCATGAATGAGGAAAGACTGAACATGATGAAGAAGGCAAGCCAAGTAAAAGGAAGGGAGGCTTCCTGGTGGAGGAAAGAAACAAGGAAACCAAGAAAGCCCTCACCCCAACTGAAAATGCTATTCTGGAAGGGAGGTCATGCCAGGCAAACTTACCAGTGACCTAGGAGGCCTGAGAAGAGCTTCTTCCCCGTACCCGAGAGATGCCTCCTCCTTCCCTATCTTCCAAGCTGTGGACGGTCCCATCTACCCTGCGTCACACTCACCTGGACAGAGGCCCAGTGGATGCTGTCTCTCCTCTATCCAGGGCTCTTCCCCTTGCTCCAGCTGAGAAATGAGTTTTGGTCTGGAAAATGGAATTTCTGCTCATGGGGAAAAACAACAACAACAACAACAAGGAGATTCTTGGTTATGGGCTCAAGGGGCCATTTCTTAACTCAGAGCCAAAATGCGTAGGGAAACTCAAAGGGCGATACAGGACCCATAACTGTGAACTCTCCTCAGAAGAGCTGAGTAAGCAAAGGTGACTCCGGTCAGGAAAACAGCATATTAACACTTGGTGAAGGAAAATCACCTAGGTTTCAAACAAGATAAAGCAAAAAGAGAGCCCCAGCCTTGAGAAAGAGGCGTGGAAATGCAATGTTAAAGGCAACATGAGTAAATCTACCTGTTTTCAATTCCACTAAATCCAGATTTCTGCTGAGGGAGGGGGGGATTATGGTTTCTAAGCCCAACCCTAGAACAAAGCTGCTTCATGGGTAGCCTTTCCTCGTGATATGTAGAAAACACTCTGTGGGGCAGATTTTAAGTGCTAAGGGAAACCATCCTTACCTAGTGAGACCAGGTGATTGTAGGTCTCCAGCATCACTTCCCTGTGCAGAGTCCTCTGAGCTGGGCTCAGCAACCTCCACTCCTCCTGGGTGAAGTCCACAGCCACATCCCTGAATGCCACGAATGCCTTTAACACAAAACACACCACTGTTCATCTGGGAGTGGCCGTGCTCGCAGCTCAGGATAAGCAATCAAAAGGCTTCCCTGTGGGAGGTAGATATTTCTAAACCTTACTTTGGATTGTGAATGAAGGGTAGCAGAATATGCCACTCCAATTTATGCCATTTTGGCATAGGGATTATTTTGGGCTGAAGGCATTGAGAAGAAGCAGACACAAGAAAAGTTCTCTGCTCTCCCCCCATCTGCCTAAGAGCAGAACATAAATTTGTGAAAGTATCTCCCCTCCCGGCTCTACCGGGAAGAACAGAAGTCAATCTCTGGAAACAACTCTAGACCCTTATCAGCCAGGAGATGGCACCAAAGGAATTCACACAACTAACCTTACTAACTACCCCTTATCTTCCACAATTTGTTGTCCTCAAAACTCAAAATGTTTTTCCTTTGTCTTGTCACTTCTCTAAAAAGTTATTGTCCTTTTGTTAAGATGCTGTATGAGCCCAAGTTCTAACCACCCCTTTGAGTTATTCATCACTGAGTGCTCCCATGTGTATGTGTTAATAAACTTGTTTGCTTTTCTGTCTTTTGTTGGTCTAATTTATAAGGCCCCAGCCAATGAACCCAAAATAGGTAGAGGAAAAATGAATTTTTTTTCTTCCCCTACATGACCTTAGTGCCAAGCATTCAAAGACCATTATTCTCCTTTAACCAGCCAGCATCATTTATGCACCTATTACATTCTAGGCTAGCTGCTACCAGGGATGAAAGCAAAACACAAGTCCCTTCACATTGGAAGCTTTAAATTTTGGCACGGAGAAGAGGAAGACATCACGCACGTGAAGTTAAACAGTAAAAAAAAATCGTCTTACTGAGCTTGAAGAACGGAGACTAATTGGTCTAAGCATTTATGCTCTACCTACTTGAAGCCACTGAGTCTCTGGGGGGTAAGTACCCACCAATATGTATACTTTGTAGCAGGACCCATTCCTCCCCCTGCTCACACTCCAGCTGCTGTGATCCTGCCTGAAGAGTGCAAGTGTGTGGATGGAAAGACTATGGACTCAAATCACACTGTCCCCAACTAGAGTACCCTTCAGCAAATTAGCTAACTCTCAGCATTTCTGTTTCTTCTGTGAACCAAGAAAACACAGCATTTATCTCACAGGACTGTGCTGAGGATCAGAGAAGTTGGTAAATGTAAGGATTCAAGACAAAGGACTGTTACACACAATAAGTGCTCAGGGAGGACTTCCCTAGCTGTTCTAGAATCCTTATTTTCACTCAGGTTCTTTTTCCCCTCTGCTGCTTTAATGTACCCCCTTAACTCTAGATAATGTGTTACTCATTTTTATTTTCTGACTGCCTACTAGGCTGAAAGTTCTATATGCATTGTTCACTGCTATTGCCCTGGTGCCCAAAGCAGAGCCTGCAAACACTAAGCAGTCAAATATTTTTAGATGACTGAATGTGCACTTACTATTATTATTATTCCCCTAACAAAGTTTCAAATGCCCTTCTGCTACCTCGAAAGCTATACTTTGGAGAGTGGGAATATAAAATCGTCCTTGGATGAAAGTTTTGGTAAGGTGTCTTGGTGTGGAGATGTGCAGAAACCAAGCCCCAAGGAGCCTAGGATCCAGTTCGGGGATTCTTCCTAGCCCATCAGTTTTTTTGTCTTTTAAAAGAGAACATAATCTGGGGCGTCTGGGTGGCTCAATCAGTTGAGTGTCCAGCTCTTGGTTTTGGCTCAGGTCATGCATGATCTCAGGGTTGTGAGATCAGGCCCCACGTCAAGCCCCACATCAGGTTCTGTGCTTGGTGGGGAGTCTACTTGGGACTCTCTCTCTCTCCCTCTGCCCCTCCTCCCCTTGCACATTCTCCCTCTCCCTCTCTCTAAAATAAATAACCTTTTTTTTTTTTTTTAAGATTTTAAAAGAGGACACATTCTGCAGTCCATAGATAGGGTTAGTTTGAGCCATACACAACATTTTCTTTATATCACTTATATGTTGGATGATTCCACATGAAAATATCAACTTATGAGTCCTGTTGAAAAAGTCCATAAATCTGACCACTCTGGGCTTTGCATTGCTGCAGGGTCACAGATGGCTGAAGGTGACCCACACTCTGGGTCCATTAGCCTACCCATATTATTGGCAGATTGCTGCAACTCCTACCTTACTTGTTTCATTTAGCTCCCTGCTTGGTCCCTTTGGTGATTTGATTTTGCATCCCTTCTCAGAACACCATCCCCCTTAAGGGATAACACTGTGTCTCCCAAACTAATTCCATGCCGTGCCCTCTCAGGGGACGCTCCCCTAAATTTCCTGTTCCCTATCAGCACAACTGTTCCGCACTGGCTGTGGAATGGCCTGAAAACAGGAGCCCCTGGCCCCCCACCTTTCGTAATAGCAATCCCAGAAGCCAGCCCTCCATCAAAGTAATTAATGAAATATAAAGCACAGCCAGGATGAGTGAGAACTATGGTTCTTACCCCTCATCTCTAGCTGTACTTTAGAACTAACTGTGGTGTTTTAAAGTATAGACTCCTGGGTCTCTCCACAAATGGATAAAATCAGACTCTCTGGGGATAGGGCTTTTATACTTTTAAAGGCTCCTAAGTATAGTCATGGTTTAAAATCAGTAGGTCAGAGGAATCTCAAGAGGGAGAGGTCACTGTAGGATGGAGAGATCACAGCAGGTTTTATGAAAGGAAGGTATGATCTTGGTCGTAAAGGGCAGGCAGGATTTTGAAGGATTAAGGAGAAATAACAGGGGTGGGCCCTCCAGATAAGACATCTGGGATGGGAGGGAATAAGGAATGAAAAGTGGCTAGCTGGAAAAGAGAGCAGGCCGGTCATAGCAGACTACAGAGGGTTCGAAAGGCCAAAGGAATATAAAATCCTATCCTCTACTGTGCATTGAAGGTAATATATGAGTAATACCCTCGATGAGTACACGAGTGTACATGATGAGTAGATGAGTATACATGTGGACAGACAGGTGGTAACGCACGTGTAGCAAAATATTCATTGTTAAATCTAGGTGGTAGGTATGTGAGTCAATGTTAAGGTATATTTTTTTCTGTAGATTTGAAACTTTTCATAATTAAATATCGAAAAGACTATTCATTCATTCAGATATCTGCCTAGCCCCTGCAGTGATTTGATTTTTAAAACCCCTTCTTAGAATAAACACACACACAAACACACACAAATACCTAGAAAATCTCTGACAAAGAAGCTACACTGCAGACCAACCTACATTCTTTCAAGAAGTTTAACACAACTGGTATTCCTACAGCCCTGGAAAAATTCATGGTTTCTTTGTCTGAGAGCCACACATGTAGGGGGGTATGGAAACACTAAATGGATGACTCTCTATGACCCATTCGAAACCTCTCTCACTGAGGAGCAACTCAGCTAGCAGCTGGGGGCACTAAATCCAACTCAAGGGGAGGCATGACTGGCAAAAACGTAACCTATCCCTTTGTCAGCTGAAGAATGGATTGGTGGCTGATGAGAACCAACAAGACACAGTAGCCTGCTGCTGGATCCTAGCAGAAGACTTCTACATTTTTAAGATGGAGTAATGCGGAACCAATACTTTGCCTAAAGCTCATAAACATGGGCACAAATCACCCAAAAGAGGCAGCGGAGTTCAGAGCACTGGCTTTAAGTGTGGTCCCTGAACCTACAGCAAGAGTATCCCTTAGGAACTTGTTAGAAATACAAATTCTCACGCCCTAGCCCAGAACCACTGAATCAGCATGCGGGATCCAGCAATCTGTTTTAACAAGGCTTCTCAGTGATTCTGATTGACAGAAAAGTCTGAGAAATGCTCAGGGGCTAAAAGCACACTCTGGAGACAGACTGTGTTCAAATAAGAGCCCTCCTTCTCCCACAACTTGGCATCAGTAACTTGACATTTCTGTGTCTCAATTTTCTAAAAATGGGTATTATAATATGACTTACCTTTTAGGGTTGTTGTGAGACTTAAAGTTGCTAATAATCAACATCCTACGGCTGTGAGGGGAACTAGCCTGATGAGGCTCACACTGTCAACAGCGTCAAGTGGAGGAATCAAAGAACCCCAGTCCTTGATAAGCTTATGAAGGGAGAGGACCAACCCCATAGTGTATCCTGGCTCTGGACTTTCTTTCATGTGGGCTCAGTTATTGTTTAGAACAGCCCAAGTGGGGTTTCCTGTTGCCTGCAGCCAAAAGGTATCCTATCTTGTAGCAATTCCCCGCCCCCTCCACCATGAATCATGCTTCTCTTTTTCTTTATGCATTTTCCTCCTATACTAATGCTAGGCTTGGCCGTGGGACATACTTTAGCCAACAGGACATCGGCAAACATGATGCAAGCAAAGGTTTGGAAGGCATTTGGGTTTGGGGCTGGCCTTGTTTCTTTCTGTGCAGTCAACCTTGAGGCTGCCATGTAAATAAATTGAGCTTGCCTGCTGACGAGGCCACACAGAGAACCAAGAACTGAGGTACCTCAGAGCCAACCAGCCTGTCAACCACCAGATATGTAAGGCCATCCAGCTCCAGCTGAGCAGCCAGCGGACTACAGCCACATGAGTGAGCCCTGGTAAATCAAGAGAAGAACCACTCTGCTGTGCCAAGCCTAACTGCTGACCCACAGAATTGTGAACAAATAAATGATTATGTTTTAAGCCAACTGGTAGACAGAAATGAAGTGCCATCACAATTACCCAAAACACGTGGCATTAGCTGTGGGAACAGGAACAGTGGAGGTTATCAGCACCAGTGGGAAAAGTAGTAGACAAACTGTTAGTGGGGGCTAGAAAAGCGGTTAAGGAAACCACTAGGGCAGCCTGAGAAAGGCCATGCCTTTTACGTGCTAGCAACACTGTCGCCTGTACTCAACTTGGAAAACAGAAAAAAATACCGAATGATTTCAGATCTGGCTAACGAGATCTCCAGGAACCCTGTTAAAGGCTTCAGTTGGATGCCTCTAGCCACATATGAGAACTTATAGAAAGAGAAAAGCTAAGGCGCCTGGGTGGCTCAGCTGGTTGAGTGTGTCTGCCTTCAGCTCAGGTCATGATGCCAGAGTCCTAGGATGGAGTCCTGCATCCGGCTCCCTCTACCCTTCCCCCCTGCTCGTGATCTCTCTCTCACTCACTCTCTCTCAAATAAATATTTATTTTTATTTTTATTTTTAAGATTTTTATTTATTTATTTGAGAGAGAGAATGAGATAGAGAGAGAGCATGAGGGGGGGAGGGTCCGAGGGAGAAGCAGACTCCCTGCTGAGCAGGGAGTCCAATGCAGGACTCGATCCCAGGACTCCAGGATCATGACCTGAGCCGAAGGCAGTCGCCGAACCAACTGAGCCACTCAGGCGCCCTAAAATATTTTTTTAAAAAAGAGAAGAGCTAAAGAAGCAATTGAGCAGTTTGTAAGCATCATTTAGGGGAAATAGGACACATGGGGAAAAAAAAACCTTAACCAACTAGCTTGTTATTGTCATGGACGGATGGTCATCCCTTCCCAGTCAAACTGCCAGCAGACTACAGCGACATGAGCAAGCCCAGGTGAAGCCTCCCAAACGCCCATCTATGCCTGGCTCAAAATGCTGACCTCTCAAACTGTGTGCTAATAAATTACTTTGTTTTAAGTCAATAAGCTTTGGGATGGTTTGTTATACAGCAAGGGCTAACTGATATACTGATAAAGGAATGCCATGTTAGATGAAAATTACTTTACAGCTAATATCATCCTTGACTTGCTAGAATGCTCATGCTGACAGAAACTCCTTAGGTTTGGGGGCACCTGAGTGGCTCAGTTTAAAAAAAAAAAAACTCCTTAGATTTGGCAAGCATTAGAGTCAGTCCTCCCATCTTTCTCTCACTCCTGAGCCTGAAAAAAGGAGATTCCTCTGAATGACTAATAAAACACTTATTTTTCTTCCTTCCTCCAGCCAACCTCCTAAAAAATGAATTAATCTAAGTTAAAGGTGTATATGAGATGACTCCACAGTGTTGGTAATAAACACACTTTCAGAATTAATAATCAGAACATGTCAGAAACAGGACAACACATTTGAAATGAGGAGTGTCCTGGGGTGCCTGGGTGGCTCAGTCGGTTAAGCATCCAACTCTTGGTTTCGGCTCAGGTACGATCTCAGGGTCATGAGATCGAGCCCCTAGTTCAGCTCCACACTCAGCAGGGAGCCTGCTTGAAGATTCTCTCTCTCTGCTCCTCCCCCTTCACATGCTCTCTCTCTCTCTCTCTCTAATAAATAAATCTGAAATGAGGAGTGTTCTGAATACCTAAGACACTGTTGTGAGCCACTGAAGGAGGACTTCTGAACAGAAGAGTGATGTTACTGTAATATTTGGGGAAAATGAGGATGACAGAAACATGCTGCGTAGCAAAGGACCATATCAACATGTAGAAACCAACCAGGACACTATTGTAAACATTCATGTGAGAAAAGAAAAAGATCTGCACTGGCAGGTCTACCCTGGGGATGTAAAACTGCACAGTATAACAATAAAAACAAAACAAGAAAACTGAAAAACATAAAGCAGACATCATGATGGAAGAAGGGGGCCTCAAAAACAGAAGAAATAAAGCGATCAAATGTTTTAGAACAGGCAGAGTTCCAAAGCTCCAACTGGTGTGAGTCCCCACTGCTTTGAAATGGTCATTTCAACTCACCTTCCCATATTTTTGTTGTGAGAATAAATACAAACCTATAAAAGAATTTCATGCACAAAATTGATCACAGAAGCAAAATTTACAATAATTAAAATATTGGGACTAAGTTAAATGCTCCCCCAAATTGGAAGGGACCCTCTTGTACTGTTGGTGGGAATGCAAGCTGGTGCAACCACTGTGGAAGATACTATGGAGGTTCCTCAAAAAGTTAAAAATAGGGGTGCCTGGGTGGCCCAGTCTGTTAAGAGTCTGCCTTCAGCTCAGGTCATGATCCCAGGGTCCTGGGACTGAGCCCCACCCTGGGCTCCCTGCTCGGTGGGGGGTTTGCTTCTCCCTCTGCCTCTCCCCCTACTCCTGCTCTCTCTCAAATTAAAAAAAAAAAAAGTTAAAAATAGAACTACCCTATGATCCAGCAATCACACTACCGGGTATTTAGCCAACAATACAAAAATACCAATTCAAAGGGATACTATGTTTATAGCAGCATTATTTACAATAGCCAAATTATGGAAGCAGCCCAGTGTCCATCAATAGATGAATGGATAAAGAAGATGTGATATATATATATAATGAAATATTATTCAGCCATAAAAAATAATGAAATGCTGCCATTTGCAACAACACGAATAGAACTAGGGAGTATAATGCTAAGCAAAATAAGTCAATCAGAGAAAGATAAATACTATATGATTTCACTCAAGTTTGGAAATTAAGAAACAAAACAAATGAGCAAAAGAAAAAAGAGAGAGAGACAAACCAAGAGACAGACTCTTAATTACTTAATTATAGAGAACAAACTGATGATTACCAGAGGGGAGGTGTGGGGGCAGGGAATGGGTGAAATAGGTGATGGGGATTGAAGAGATTAAGGAGTGCGCTTGTGATGAGCACTGGGTGATGTATGGAAGTATTGAATCTCTATATTGCACACCTGAAATTAATACAACACCGTATGTTAACTACACTGCAATTAAAAAAATAATAAAAATGATCCCCTCCAAAGTGGAAAGTAGTGGATGGGTTCATCCATTTCATGCACTATTATAGAAATCACTTCCAGTGGGTTAAGTGTTGGCTGTTTCTCCACCTATAAAATATGGGTCTGGGTAGATACACTGGCACGATCTTTAATATACTGATTTTATCATTAAGCTCTGTCAAAATGTGTGTGAGTGTGTGTGTGTGTGCGTGAGTGTAAAATGAAACAAAATCCCAATGGTAACGAATCCCAAAATAAAATGGAAGACCTGTAAGTGTGCAGGCTGTGCCTTTACACATTACTGACTGTCATCCATCAAGTATTCTGCATACAGCAGACAGTCAGCAAATTTGTTCAATGGAGTCAGTGAAAAAATGCTAAGGATTAGTAACATCATGTGCCTGCCAGCCCATCTCATTTGTTACAAATTTTACTTTATTCTCTCAGGCAAAGGTCCCTGCCAGTGACCTAACAAGCACTGTGTATTTGTTTAAATTGGTTTGTATAATTCAGATGTCATGCATATCAGAGTACCTGGATAGTCTACCCAGACCCCCTGAAATATGTAGTTAATATTTTGTGTGTATTTTCTTCACTACTCATTATGTTAATATATATGTAATTATATACCACTCCTCCAGGAACAGGCGTGAACTTTGCCCAATACCAACAAGGCAGCCTGCAGCGCAAGAAAAAGGAACAGATCCATCCTGTTGGCAGCCAACATGTAATTTGATGAAAATTCTCACCTCTTTTTTGGCTTTCAGGAGCCCCGTGGCCATTTTCCTGGTCTCCTGAATGCTGTCCTTGGAGAAGGGCAAGGTCTCAGGAGATAGACCTGGGGATGTGAAAAGAAACGAGAGCGTGCCTAGATGGAAAAGCCCCTCTCCACCAGTCAAGGCGGGGTCGGCTCCGGAGCCCCACACCTGGGGGTTCAGTGTTACAGAAATCACCAGCACAACCCAATTCCCATCCAGAGCCCTGGGAAAAGCGTTCAAAGTGACCGAGCACCCTCAAATTCAGCCCTAAGCTCTGGCCACGGAGTGGAGCCCATGTCCTCCTGCAAAGGAGTAAGTGTCTCTCTAACTCTCTGGGCTGGAATGAAAAGGTAACGGCCTGGAACGCCTATGGAAGAGCGCCCGAGTTCAGAGGTAGCCTGTATCCCGACGAGTAAAACAGGGACAAGCAGAGGGACGTGCTGACTGGACGAGGCAATGACTACAGGGCACTCACGTGACGCGGGGTGCACGTTGCCAATCCTGAGGCTGAGGCTCGGGAACCAAGCTCAGAAGTGTGGAAACGACCGAAGAGGGGAGGCCTACCCCGCCGCCTACCAGCGAGTGGGCGGGACCCACCAACCGGAAGTGCTCCGGCTACGTAAACTCCGCAGCAAGGAGAACGCCAGGGACAGCGGAAGTGGCCGCGCGGGCCTCTGGAGAGTGTAGTCTTTGGGATGGAGAGGTGGTGGGCGAGCAGGCTTCGCCAATGGCCGGGTGACTCTGACATCTGCACCTCTCATGCAACGAAGCTTAGGAGCTCACGTTAAGATGCCCAGACCGCAAGGTGCACATGTTTCTTCTCCGAGGGCCAATGAGATCTCGCGGACCACGAGAGAGTCGCAGAAATGCCCGAAGATTCTAGAAAATGTGGTCCTGGCGCCCCGCCGGTGTTACGGAGGCAGGTGGACAGACTGTGCGCGCTGACCTTCAGCGGCACGGGTGAGTTGGGGTAACCCACGCCAAGGCTCCGCACTGTGTGCCCTTCCAGGAGCAGAAACCAGGGTCCGGAATGGGGCGAGTGGGCGCAGCTCAGGGCAAAGATCTTGCGGAACGAAGCAGTGGAGTGACGCTCTGTTGGGACTCCGGGATAGGAGCGACACCGGCCTTGGTGCGCCAATCCGCACAGGGAACGGCAAGGCTATTTTCTAGGAGAGCGGGATTGGCTTGGGCTAACTCCCAGGATATTGGTGGATGGCTCTAGTCCTGTGTCCCTGGGATATTGGTGGGTGGGGAGGCGGGACTTGAGACCAAGAGCAAAAGGCCCCCTGGTGGTAGAAGTAGTCGTGTGGTGAGGAACCGTGGCTTGATTTAGAAATCCCTGGGTTTTTTATTGGAAGCTAGGTGCCACTTAGGGGAAATTTACCGGAGTTGTGGTTGGGAGGTGGGGGTATGGGGTGTGAAGAGGAAGCAGAACTTGACAGTTTTGTTCATAATGAATTTTTTTGCATTAATTTTGATTTTCAAAGATACCACCTTAAAATATTTATCTTGATTACTGAGTTTTTATGGTGCCCCCTTATATTTTGCCCCCAGAGTGCCGGCTATAGGGAAAGGCATGAAGAGATCTTACACTATATGAACTTCATTGGCACCTATTGGCCTGTAGTCTTGATAGGAAGTGAGGGCTCGGCTTCTGGGCATTAAGTAGCCAGAAAGAGGCCTTTGGGGCTATGAAGAGCACACATGAAATGGAAGGACTGAAAGCTTTAGAGAAGGGATTGGGGTGCAGGGGGTGGGAGGTGGGATCCTGAGATAATCCAGATCCCTATGTGTAGACATGTTTACACAGTCAGTGAAGAGAGACCCAAGCTGATAGATTACCTGTAATAAGTGAAACATAATATAACAACAGGTCAGGTGATGATGTGACTCTGCGAACTTACTCCCCTTTTTTTCCTTCAGGGAAGGAAAAGGGGCTGGAGGTTGAATCAATCAATCACTTGTTCATGCCTGTGTAACGAAGCCTCCATAAAAAAACAAAAAGATGGGAGTTTGGAGAGCTTCCAGGTTGATGAAGACCCGGGGAGAGTGGTGCGCTCAGCATGAAAGCTCTGTGACCCTTCCCCATACCTTGCCCTATGCATCTCTTCCATGTGGCTGTTCCTATATTATCCTTCTATAATAAAATGGTAATCTGGTAAGTAAAATATTTCTCTAAATTCTGTGACAATTTAGCCTGAAAGTAATCTATGAATTAGAAATTAAGGCAGAAAACAAAGGACCTATTAATCACATTTCAGGTAGGAAAACTAACATAAAAGTAGGATATGAGGAAGGGAAGAAATAATCAGATGAGGGTGGGGTTGGGGCACTTATGGGGATGCAGGAGGCAGGAAGAAGTGCAGTTTGTGCATAAAATCATTACAGAGACAGTCTTTGGAGAGGTGTGTGCACAAGGATTGTGGCTAGATTGGAAGATGACAGATATCCCGAAAGGTATATTCAGGGGTTGACACTGAATAAAAAACGAGAGTCAAGTGTAGAGACTTTCCCATCCTGTGCACAGATGGGAGGAGAGCACGGATAACATCAGTAGGTGATGTGCAAATGGGGAGTAGACAAATGTGGAGTAAATAAGCACAGCAAATAGCCCCTAAAGAGGGAGATGAGGAAAATGAGCACAATCCTATCCTCAGAAAGACACACAGCAGTTAAATATCATGTGGAAACTCAGGTTCAAGGGTAAGAGATGGCTGCCCACACCTCTGCTATGTCACCTGCAGCCACAGGGTGGTGGGCAACGCCTTCTTGCTCCAAAAGAGTTGGCCACAGAAGGCAGAGCAGGTCCTGTCGACCTCTGATAGTCGTGGACCTGGGGCAGCGAAGGAACGGAGAAAAAGACACGACAGTAAAGCGAGGTACAGGGGACCCCGAGCAATCAGCCCGAGGTGCCGAGGTTTATTTTCCATCATCTCATATACCTTCTACAGCGATACAGATCTATAATGATTTTTAACAGTACAACAGTACAGATCAATAATGATTTACAGCAATGACTTAGGTTATTGAGAATCTTTCAGGCAAGATACGAGCACACAATGCGCAGTGTTATTACGTATGATCTCTAAGGCAAGATGTGAGGACAGGGTGCTCAATGTACTATGTATGATTTCTGAAGCAGGATATGTAAACAGCGTATAAAATGCAAAAACAGGAAGGGGAGTGCACAGCGGGCTTTTTACAGCTGGCTTCCTTTTAGCAAAATAACTTTTACTGTGTACGTTGGAACAAACCACGCACGTCCTTAGGGCAAATTCACTCTGATCCTTCCAGGCTATTTAACCTTATAATCTCGAGGTTTCTCAGAGATTTCGGAGCCTTGCAATCTCGAGTTTTCTCAGAGATTTCGGAGTCTGAATGAACATGCACCAGTGGTCGCCGTGGTGTTCTGTGTCCCACAAGTCCCAAACTGAAGCTCCAGAAGGGAGGAGGTTCCACAGTGAGAGAAAAACACATAGTATCTATATATTTTTATAATAAAATATTTCATATACATTCAAGTAGAGATGGGTACAGTGACAGATAATAAGGTAGAGGAATCAGATAGACACCACAGAGATATAATGACAGATAAACAAATAATATGTAAGGGAGTTTATCCACATATGCAGACTTTATATGTTCACGTAAATACTTGTATTTGTGCATCATTCAGTAGAGATGTTTACACAGACTGCACTCACGTTGTGAAGTCAACAGGAGATGAAGTAAAAACAAAGCAGTTATCGAGTATCAGTCTGTTTTTTTTAAGATGTTATTTATTTATTTGACAGAGAGAGACATAGCGAGAGAGGGAACACCAGCAGGGGGAGTGGGAGAGAGAGAAGCAGGCTCCCCGCCGAGCAGGGAGCCCAATGCGGGGCTCCATCCTAGGACCTGGAGATCATGACCTGAGCCGAAGGCAGACGCCCAACGACTGAGCCACCCAGGCGCCCCGAGTATCAGTCTGTCTTGTGAGACACACACAAACAGCTCCTCGCCTCCCTTCTGAACACCGCTACTGCCTGCAGCAGGTGGCAATTCTAGCCCTGTCTCACAGTGTCAGAGACATGGAAGTACATACCACAGAACTCACTAGAAACAAAAGCCAGGAAGTGCAGAGGCTGTGGAAAGCGGACTTCAAGTAGGAGGGATTAGAAAGTCCAGGAGAGGGATTCCAGAGAGGATCCAGATGCCTGCACAAAGGCCAGGCAGTGAGCAGACCCAGGTGTCTGTGACTAAGTTAGCATGAACTCAAACATCGTCTGATACAATGCTTCTCAAAAGCTGCTGCAACAGACCCACCTGGGGGGCTTAGTAAACACAGATTGCTGGGCCTCACCCTGAGTTTCTAATTCAGTGCCTGTGTGGCACCTGGGTATGTGCATTTCTAGTATGTTTCCAGGTAACAGTGATGCTGCTCATCCAAGGAGCACACTAGGCTCTACTCTTAACACCAGGTCAGGGGGAGGTACTAAAGAGCAAAGCAGCAGCAGAAGGGACTTGAAGCCTGCCTGTAGGGGCTTCTCTGGAAACTCCTCAAACATAAAAACCTCCAAGATGTTGCAAGAACATCAACAGCATTATGTCTCCAAATAAAAGGTACCACTCAGGAAGTGCTTGGCCAGGTAGTGACAGGCCCAACCACTGGACCCACGTAAACCTTCCAGAAAACCTGGGACCCCGGCACTCTGAGAACCCCTACTTTCTACCCTCCCTCACTGAGATCTGACACCCTGTTTCCTGATACCATTCCATTATAGCACAGGAAGGAATGTCACTGATATGCCCACTTTTATGGACTTTCCTAGATAAAAATAACCACTCGAGTAGAAATTTTTTTAAATAAATGTTTATTTTTCATATAAAAGAGCACAAAATTTTACATCAGTTTAATGGAAACCCTAAAATACATAGAAAAGATATAAAAATAATGATAAAAATAGTCAACGAGGCAAAGCAATACGTAAGAGATCTTATATCCTAAAATACATATATAGCTATCTATGCTATTTTAAAAATCAAGGCAGAAACAAAAGGGGTGCTACATATCTCTAAATTTATGCATTCCAATTTTCCAGTTTAACTCTAAAATTAATCTGGAGATCTGTCATGAAAAAAATGGGGAAAGTGTCTAACTCAACTGATGGGACAAAGAAAATAATCATTGGTAAGTAACTGCAAATAAATACCTAACCAAGACAAAAAACCATGGCACCTCTTCTGGGGAAAGGCTGAAATGGGGGATAGAGGAAAAAACTGTGACCCTCAAAGGAAAATAAGACAGAAGAAATCAGGCCAGAATATTAAGGAATTGGAAATGAGTCTCCATATCGGAAAAGGAACACAACAAACAGCAAGAGGAAAGACAGAGGCAAAAGTCACCGACTCCAGGGGTGGGGAGGTCCATGAGAATGAAGGAGGCAGGAAGAGAGGTGGAGTGTGTACATAAAATCATTCCCTAGAGCTGTGCTGTCCAATGACGCAGCCACTCATCACATGTGGCTACTGAGCACTAGAAACATGGCTAGTTTGAACTGAGAAATGGTGTAGATAGAAAATACAGTCCAGCGGCGCCTGGTGGCTCAGTCGGTTAAGCATCTGCTTTCCGCTCAGGTCGTGATCCCAGGGTCCTGGGATCGAGCCCCGCATCGGGCTCCCTGCTCCGCAGGGAGCCTGCTTCTCCCTCTCCCACTCTCTCTGCTTGTGTTCCCTTTCTCGCTGTCTCTCTCTGTCAAATAAATAAATAAAATCTTAAAAAAAAAAACTATCCAAATCACAGACCCGCAAGCTGAAGAATTTTAAACTGTTAAGCGTCACTGTCTTGATTATCACCATGACATGAGATCAAAAAATCAAATCAGCACATGCCATATAGACTGGATGTCTCATCTGAAATAGATATATGCTGTGCATGGAGAAGCACTGAACTTATCCAGGGGGCAGCATGCCAGGAGGTGCCACACATGTATCTGGGTGTGCATTTGAATGGAGTGCTCAAACTCTCATCCGCACAGCTCCGCTGTCCTTCACTGGCACTGCAGGGGTGGAACTAGGAGGGGAATCCACATCCGGTGATACCATGGGGAAAGAGACACTTTGGGATTTTGCCCTGATTTCTGAGGAGTATTTTCTCTTCTCCCTCTGGGTTGTATTTTCTTGCTGTCCACCTGTCTACCATTTTGCCACCCCAAACTGTAGCCCAACTCATCTCCTCAGCGTGAATGTTGAGAATTTAGACTTACCTCTTTAATCTCTACAAGATTTGCCCAAAATTCAGACTTAAAAGAATAAAAACAAGTTTGCTTGAGAAAGTTCAGCCTCCCCCTTCTTAGGGGAACCCTTAAAGAAACATCAGCCCAGTGTCTCCCCATCTCTGCTCAACAACTCCTTGTGACCTCTCCTTCAGGAGCAGAAGGCAAATTCTTACCTAGGCCCACCTGCCTCCACGAACTGTAACATAGGACCGACACACAGAGATCAATAACTCAATATAATTTAACATAATACAAAGTTAGGAAGGGATGCCCATCATGAAATGTTTAAGCAATAAAGCTGCAGTGACGGGGAGGGACGGGAAATAGTACAGGACTCTAGGGATGGGCTGGGAGTGAGTCCCGATAAACTCTACATCCTGGTAGAGGTAGGGTGCAGGCAATCAGACTCTGAAGAGAAAGGTAAACCAAAATTCTATCTATGCAAACACAATTAAGATCACATCAGATAGAGTCAGGTGGGTTAGGAAACACAGAAAGCAAAGGAAACAATTGAAAATGTGAAGGTTTCTCCATAAACCGTTAGGAGGGTAAATGCCAGACACACCTCCAGCATGTGTTTATAGTAGTATTTCTTCAATTAACAAGGCAAAGTTTGGAGCAGCAAGGAGAGATGGAGGCCACGCACTTCCTCTGGATCATCAATGTGAACCTGGCAGCAAGCCACTCTGGATACTACCATTTTCCCCATGATGAATCAAAGCCACAGTGTCTCATTGGTGGGTTCAAGGTCAGAGAGCTAATAAAGGTTGCCATCTGGGATTTGAATGAGGCTGTTGGCCTCCCAGGCCTGTTCCTGATGCTCAATGACTAAAAATCAGTCTCACTTAGTGATAAGTACAAGTGGGGCGCCTGGGTGGCTCAGTCGTTAAGCGGCTGCCTTTGGCTCAGGTCATGACCCCAAGGTCCTGGGATTGAGTCCTGCATCAGGCTCCCTGCTCTGCAGGAAGCCTGCTTCTCCCTCTGCCACTCCCCCTGCTTGTGTTCCTCTCTGGCTCTCTGTCATATAAATAAATAAAAACTTTTTTTTTTTTAAAGTACAAATTATCTCTCCAAATCCCTCAAGTTATTCTTTTCTGTTAGTATTTGTTCTGTGAGCTAGACAAGGCAGAAGAAAAGGGAGAAAATGAAAACTCAGGAAAGTAAACACACTTCTAAACTGATGAACGGTCAAAGAAGAAAATGCAACATACCCAAGGATAAAATTGCATTTGGCATAGGGACCTAAGCCTGTATGAAGCCTCAAAGCTATGAAATAAATCCTACAAAAATAAGAGATCCACTCACTGAGTAACATTTTAAAGGATCTGGGAAGGTAGCGCTATTATCTATTACTAAAAGAGTCAAACCAGGGTTATAGTTTTTAAACAAAACAAAAATCCCTAAACCTCCTTAACTGGCTGTTCCTTTTACAAGAACCACGTATGTCTGTCAAAAAAATAAGAAATTAAAGAAATTGGGGAATTATTACTAATAGTAAGGTACCAAAGTTAGGAACATTTTCCCTTAAGAGAAAAAAAATCCAGGGGCGCCTGGGTGGCTCAGTCCTTAAGCGGCTGCCTTCCGCTCAGGTCATGATCCCAGGGTCCTGGGATTGAGCCCGGCATCCGGCTCCCTGCTCAGCGGGAAGCCTGCTTCTCCCTCTCCCACTCCCCCTGCTTGTGTTTCCTCTCTCGCGGTGTCTCTGTCAAATAAATAAATAAAATCTTAAAAAAAAAATCCAAAGTAACTTGCTATGCCTTTCACAGCAATTTCTCAAAATAAATTTTTATGAAGCCTAGGACAATCAAAAGTTGGTTTTAAAAACAACATAAAATCCCTAAAGCCACTGTAACTGACTGTCCTTATCATAGACATTCCACTAAATAATATAGCTAACAAGAATGGGATTTTTAAAAGGCTGGGGCCCTATAGTATAAATACACTCTTAACCAGGAATTTACTCATTTACTAAACCTGAATCCATTGGCCAACCCTCCCCGCGGAAGGTGCTGCAAAAAACACCTGCCAACGGGCGCCTGGGTGGCCCAATCGGTTAAGCATCTGCCTTTGGCTCAGGTCATGATCTCTGGGTCCTGGGATGGAGCCCCACAACGGGCTCTCCGCTCAGTCGGGGGGCTGCTTCTCTTTCTCCCTGTGCCTGCCGCTCCCCCTCCTTGTGCGGGCTCTCTGTCAAATAAATAAGTAAAACCTTAAAAAAAAAAAAAAAAACCCTACCAAAAAAAAAAAGGGGGGTTTACCCGGGGGGGGGGGGGTGGAAAATGCCTGCTTTTTACCTTTAATACCAAGACCCTGCCAGTCGGAGGTCGGAAACCCTGTGGAACAGCCTCTGCGCGGGCGCCCACCCAGTCCGGCTGGAAACCAGAAAGAGCTGGAGGTTTAAACGCTTGGGTTTCCAGCCCGAGTCCCGACTCGTGCCGTCGCGACAGCCGAATTCCCAGGCACGCAGGGCGGACCCGAACGTCCCACGTCCAGCGGTCTCCTCCCAGCCCAACGTAAGGCTCTGGAACCGTGTTCAGCCCCATCTGCCTGCACAGCTTCTTCCGGCCTCGCGCTTGCCTGTGCCTTCGCGTGGGGGCGGGCTTCCGGAAACAGTGCCCAATGGGAAACACGATTAAATACACTGGACTCAAAGCAACGCCGAGGAAGAAAGGAAGAATGCAGGTATCTCAAATATAGTCAGAGCCCTTAGCCAATGGATGTGCAAAAAAGGGCTCGCCTCTCGTTGACCAATAAAAAGTGTTTACGGCCGACCCGCCTACAAAGAGTAACAAAGGTTTCTTGCGGAAGTCCAGGCAAGAACGCTCCCTCTGGGCGCTTCACCCTGACTTTGCAATCATCTATCGCGCTGTTGGCTGAATCGTCTAGGAGATTTGCACTCGGCGCTGGAGACCCCCTGTCCTCGTCCAGGTGTTACGACCCCTGAACTCCGAGACCTGACTTTGCACACAGCAGGTCTCATTATCAATGGGCTAATAAATAATAAAATAAAGGAAATGGACAGTGAAGACATTAATGAATAAAATCAAGCAGACACTTGCGGTGCAGGGCCTCTTCTTTGCAAAACCAAATCCAGGGGCAAAACCAAATCCAATACGTTTCTAACCAGCAATCAGAGTACAGAGGGGGCAGGCGGCAGAGCTTTGCATTTGATTCATATAATTTGTCAGTAAAGTCCCAGAGTTTGCAGCCATTTCAATGTTCTACAGTTTACCTCAGTTCTGGGAGCAGCGCTTCTCTTACAAGCAACCGCGACCAACGGCTTTAATTTCAGCAAATTCCTCTTTATGTGCGTATCTGGAACTGTCTGTGGGGTAACATTTTAAAATTTCTATTTCGAAGGGATCCACGGCCCTCGTGTGTTTGTGTGTGTGTGTGTGTGTGTGTGTGTGTGTGTGTGTGTGTGTGTTTCTTGGCATCCCCTGGGGTCCGCGGGCCCCTCGACTCCAATCTCCACCCACGGAATTCAGAGCCACATTCTTGTACTGCGCGAGTGTCTTCCAAATAGAGGAAACAGTATTATTGCAGACTGGCTCTCTGGTTCTGATCTAGGCGGTCGCGTTGACGTCCAGACAGTGCTGTGCGTGTTGACCGTGGTTTTCAGTGAAGGGAGGGCAAGAAACAGACCGTGACTAACAGACGTGCGTTCCTAAGGCTGGATTGGTCACAGCTGGAAGAAGAGCCTCCCTCACGCCCCAGGGGCCAAATGGCGACCTAGTGGGAGGTACAGCACGGCTGTAAATGACTGGCGGGGGCGGGTCCTTCCAACAACAAAGGAGCTAGTGGGAGGCCTGCGAGGCTGGGCCAATCCCGCTGTGACTGGCGGGGGCCAGCCCTCCTCTAACAACAAAAGGCCCCTAGGAAAGAATCCTGCATACCAAGGGACGCTGAGGCGTTACTAAAGGAACTTAGGGTCTTCCAGGTCTTGATTAACTCCTTTCTCCCACAATTTTTTCTTTTTCTAACTGGTTCTTATAACCCTATGAGGCCTCAGTGTGCCGTCTCTCGCGGCAGAGTTTTCTCTAGTCTCGGGGCTGTTTCCTTAATCACTGCGCTAATCTCACTCCTCTGCTCCTGATTACCCCAAACATTTGTCGCGTGCTGGCTCTTGTCCCTGCTAGACCTGCTCTCTCGCCGGCTACTGAGAGGGCAGTTGGGATTTTGGAAGAGGGAGCAGGTGCAGGGTACCCGTGGCGGGGTGGGAGAGAAGGGGAGACGGGCTCCTCCACACCTTTGCCCACTCAGGTTCTCCAAGGCTCTGACAGGAGAATCCTTACCTTTTCCGCAAGGTTTTAAATTGAGACACTTGGGAAGAGGGCAGAATTGCAGCATGATACAAGCTGGGGGAAGGAGGAGATGGGAAAGGTGGGAGATGCATCAACTAAGGCGGTATCTTTATTACTTTATTCCAGTATTTTAATCTTTATTTTACACCATACCTTTGCCTAATCACGTTTCTCTGTCTCTACCAGGCACCCCTCTCCCCTGGGGTGGGGGGGGCGGTTGAGAGGATGTTAGTCCCCAGTCTCTGCTCCCTTGGCCTGAATTAGAATTAGTCCCTTCTTTTTTATTATTATTTTAAAAAGATTATATTTATTTATTTGACAGAGACAAAGTGAGAGAAGGAACACAAGCAGGGGGAGTGGGAGAGGGAGAAGCAGGCTTCCCGCTGAGCAGGGAGCCCGATGCGGGGCTCCATGCCGCGCTCCATCCCAGGACTCTGGGATCATGACCTGAGCCGAAGGCAAACGCTTAACGACTGAGCCACCCAGGCGCCCCAGTCCCAGAGCTTTCAGTTTCAGTGTACATATCTTGGCTGGAAGGGATGGCGCCGTTGGACTTTTAAAATATTCAATTTTCGCTAAGTTATATTTATCGCTCTCTTCCTTTATGTATACTGAATTTTGTTTCTTACATGCAAAAGTATTCTTATCCTGCAATTAAAAAAAAACCGCTTATTTTCTTCTAATTCTGTAATAGTTTCTGATTTTTACATTTCCTTTGGAGTTGATTTCGGGGGTACGGTGTGAGGTAGAGATGAATTTGCATGTCATCCTTGTGTAGCAGCCATGCTAATCTTCTCTGTATCATTCCCATTTTAGTATATGTGCTGCTGAAGGGAGCAAGGTGTGAGGTAGAGATGTAACCATTTTTTCCCCCGGATGGATATTTCTCCAAAGAAGACATACAGATCACCAAAAGACACAGGAAAAGATGCTCATCATCAGGAAAATGCAATCAAAACTACAATAAGAGATCACCTCATACCTGTCAGAATGGCTAAAATCAACAACATAAGAAATAGTATTGGCAAGGATGTGGAGAAAAAGGAACCCTCTTGCACTGTTGGTGGGAATGCAAACTGGTGCAGCTACTGTGGAAAACAGTATGGAGGTTCCTCAAAAAATTAAAAATGGAACTACCTGGGCACCTGGGTGGTTCAGTCAGTTAAGCAGCTGCCTTCAGCTCAGGTCATGATCCTGGGGTTCTGGGAATGAGCCCCTCATCAGGGCTCCCTGCTCGGTGGGGAGTCTGCTTTTTCCTATGTCCCTTGCCCCTAAACATGTGCTCTCTCTCTCAAATGAATAAATAAAATCTTTTTTAAAAAAAATAGAACTACCCTATGATTTTTCTCTTTATTTTACACCATACCTTTGCCTAATCACGTTTCTCTGTCTCTACCAGGCGCCCCTCTCCCCTGGGGGGGGGCGGTGAGGGGATGTTAGTCCCCAGTCTCTGCTCCCTTGGCCTGAATTGGAATTAGTCCCTTCTTTTTATTATTATTTTTAAAAGATTTTATTTGTTTGACAGAGAGAGAGACAAAGCGAGAGAAGGAACACAAGCAGGGGGAGTGGGAGAGGGAGAAGCAGGCTTCCTGCTGAGTGGGATGATGATTCAGCAAACACACTATTGGGTATTTTCCTGAAGAATACGAAAACACTAATTCAAAGGGATACGTGCATCCCTTTGTTTATAGCAGCATTATTTACAATAGCCAAGTTATGGAAGCAGCCCAAGTGTCCATTCACTGATGAATGGATAAAGAAGTTGTGGTGTACAGGTGCGCCTGGGTGACTCAGTCGTTCAGTAACTGCCTTCGGCTCAGGTCATGATCCCGGGGTCCTGGGATCGAGCTCCGCATCAGATTCCCTGCTCCATGGGAAGACTGCTTCTCCCTCTCCCACTCTCCCTGCTTGTGTTCCCTCTCTCACTGTGTCTCTCTCTGTCAAATAAATAAATAAATCTTAAAAAAAAGAAGTTGTGGTGTATATATACAATAGAATATTATTCAGCCATAAAAAAGAATGAAATCTTGCCATATGCAACCACATGGATGGAGCTGCAGAGTATAATGCTGTGAAATAAGTCAGTCAAAGAAAAAAAAATTCCATATGATTCCATTCACATGTGGAATTTAAGACGACTCACTTTAAAGACTCACTTTAAAAAAAATAAATAATGGGGCGCCTGGGTGGCTCAGTTATTAAGCGTCTGCCTTCAGCTCAGGTCATGATTCCAGGGTCATGGGATCGAGCCCCACATCGGGCTCCCTGCTCAGCGGGAAGCCTGCTTTTCCCTCTCCCACTCCCCCTGCTTGTGTTTCCTCTCTCACTGTGTCTCTCTCTGTCAAATAAATAAAATCTTTAATAAATTAATTAAATAAAGGCACCTGGGTGGCAAAGAAATAAATAAAATAAATAATAAAGACTCACTTTAGACCCAAAGACACATATAGCTTCAAAGTGAAGTAACAGAAAATTACATTTAGGCAATTGGTAACTCAAAGAGACCTGAGATGGCTATAATAGCATAAAAAAGTAGACTTTAAATGAGAAAAGGTTACAAGAGACAATGAATTATATATTAATTAAAGTGTCAGTCTTCAGAAGATATAACAGTCATAAACAGAGCCCTATAATATATAAAGCAAAACCTGATAGGATTGAATGAAGAAATAGACAAAATTCAACAATAATAGCTGAAGACTTCAAGACCCCATATTCATAATAGACACAACTAGATAGATCAACAAGGAAATAGAGGACTTGAACAACACTGTAAACCAACTAGAACTAACAGACATATAATAAAACACCAGAATAAACATTATTCTCAAGTGTACATGGAACACTCTTTAGGACAGACCATACATTAAGCCACACACACACACCACACAACTCAGTAAATTTATAAGCATCAAAACCATATAATGTATCTCCCCTGACCAAATGGAATGAAATTAGAAATCAATAGAGAAGGAAATCGACTATTCACAACTACATGAAAATTAAACACAGTTTCAAACAACCAGTGGATCAATGAAAAAAATCACAACAGAATTTAGACAATACTTTGAGATGAATGAAAACAAACATATCAAAACTTCAAGGCTGCAGCTAACACAGTACTGAGAGGGAAATTCATAGCTATAAATGGCTACATTAAAAACAAGAAAGATCTCGGGCGCCTGGGTGGCTCAGTTGGTTAAGCGACTGCCTTCGGCTCAGGTCATGATCCCGGGGTCCCAGGATCGAGTCCCACATCGGGCTCCCTGCTCAGCAGGGAATCTGCTTCTCCCTCTGACCCTCTTCCCTCTCGTGCTCTCTCTCATTCTCTTTCTCAAATAAATAAAATCTTTAAAAAAAAACAAGAAAGATCTCAAATCAATAACCTGACTTTCCACCTTAAGGAACTAGAAAAAGAAGAGCAAATAAACACAAAGTAAGCAGAAGGAAGGAAATGGTAAAGATTAGAAAGGATATAAATAAAATAGGAAATAGAAAAACAACAGATAATCAACAAAATAAAAAATTGGTTCCTTGAAAAGATTGACAAAATTGATGCACCAATAGATAGACTAAGAAAAATAGAAGATTCAAGTTACTAATATCTGGAATGAAAGTTGGGACATTACTACTGACCTTACAGACATAAAAAAAAATATAAGAGAATATTATGAACAATTTTATAAACAAATCAGATGACTCAGATGAAATGGACAAGTTCCTGGAAACACACAAACTACCATAACCTATTCAAGAGGAGTATGTAACAGTCTTTCTATGACAATAAGGAGATTGAATCTGAAAGCAAGTAAATACTGTTAATGGAATGAATGTTTGTGTTCCTCTCAAAATTCATATGTTGAAGTCCTAACCTCCCACATGAAGATATTTCAAGTTGGAGCCTTTGAGAGATAATTAGGTTTAGATGAAGTCATGAGGGCAGGGTTGCCACGATGGGACTAGTGCCCTTATAAGAAGAAACCAGAGAGTGTGCTCTCTCTCTCTCCCTCTGCCATATGAGGATACAGCAAGCAGGCAGCTGTCTGCAAATCAGAAAGAAGGTCCTCACCAGATGCTGAATCTGGTGGGACCTTGACCTTGGACTCCCCAGGTTCCAGAACTGTGAGAAATAAATGTTTGTTGTTTAGGCTACATAATCTATGGTTATTTTATTATAGCACCCCAAAATGACTAAGAAAACTTCTAACAAATAAAAGAATCATGTGGTTTCACTGGTGAATTCTACCGAACATTTAAAGAATTAGCACCAATACTTCTGAAACTCTTCCAAAAAAATAGGAAAGAAGGGAATACTTCCAAATTCATTCTATGAGACCAGTATTACCCTAATATCAAAGTCAGATAAATATATCACAGAAAACTATAGACCAATATTCCTTATGAATAGAAATGTAAGAATCCTCAATAAAATACTAGCAAATTGAATTAAGTTGCATATAAAAAAATTATGCACCATGAACAAGTGGGATGTATCCCAGGAATGTAAGGCTGGTTCAACATAGGAAAATCCATGAATGAAATATATCATATTAATAGAACAAAGAGAAAAGGGCATCTATGAAAATTAATAGTGAAAGCTTTCTCCTCTAAGACAAGGAACAAGACAAGGAGGTCTGCTCTTGCCACTTCTCTTAAACGTCATACTGGAAGTTCTAGCCAAGGCAACTGGGCAAGAAAAAGATGTAAAAGTCATCCAAATTGGAAAGGAAAAAAGCAAAAACTATCTCTGTTCACAGATAATATGATCTTGTATATAGAAAACTCTAAAGAATCCACTAAAAATTATTAGAACTAATAAATGAGTTCAGCAAAGCTGCAGGATACAAAAATCAATGTTCAAAAATCAGTTGTATTTCTATATACTAGTAATGAACAATCCCAAAATGAAATTTAAAACAAGAATAAATTCTTAACTTTACCTAACAAGGTGAAAGATTTGTATACCGAAAAATATAAAACACTGTTGAAAGAAATTAAAGACTTAAATAAATGAGAAGATATCCTGTGTTCATGGATTGTAAGCCTTAATGTTGTTAAGATGGCAATATTCCCCAAAGTTACTGCAGATCCAATGCAATCCCTATCAAAATCCCAATGGCCTTCTCTTGCAGAAATGGACAAGCTGATCCTAAAATTTATATGGTATTGCAAAGGACTCAGAATGGCCAAAATTATCTTGAAAAATAAGAAAATTGGAAGACTCACATTTCTTGTTTTCAAAACTTATTACAATGTTACAGAATCAAACACCAAAGGCTAGACATATATCAATGAAAGTGAATTGGGAAGCTAGAGATAAACCCATACATCTAAGGTCAACTGATTTCCAACAAGTGTGCAAGACTATTCAGTGGGGAAAGAACAGTCTTTTCAACAAATGGTGCTGGGACAATTGGGTATCAACATGTAAAAGGAGGAATTTGGACCCCTACCTTACACCATATAAAAACTATAAATGATCAAGGACATAAATGTAAGAGCTAAAACTATGAAACTCTTAAAAGGAAATATAGGTATAAAATTTTGTGACTTTGTATTAGGTAACCATTACTTTTCTTTTTTTAAAATATTTTATTTATTTATTCATCAGAGAGAGAGCACAAGCAGGGAGAGCGGCAGGCAGAGGGAGAAGCAGGGTCCTCACTGAGCAAGGAGCCTGATGCGGGACTTGATCCCAGGTCCCTGGGATCATGACCCGAGCCGAAGGCAGATGCTTGACTGACTGAGCCACCCAGACGTCCCTAGGTAAACATTTCTTTTTTTTTTTTAAAGATTTTATTTATTTATTTGAGAGAGAGAGAATGAGAGACAGAGAGCACGAGAGGGAAGAGGGTCAGAGGGAGAAGCAGACTCCCCGCTGAGCAGGGAGCCCGACGTGGGACTCGATCCCGGGACTCCAGGATCATGACCTGAGCCAAAGGCAGTCGCTTAACCAACTGAGCCACCCAGGCACCCCTCTAGGTAACCATTTCTTAAATAGAACATCAAAAGCACAAATATCAAGAAAAAAGCAAATAAATTAGACTTCATCAAAATTAAAAACTTGTGCATCAAAGGAAACCACCAAGAAAGTGAAAATACAACCCACAGAATGGGAGACCATATTTGCAAATGATAATAACATACAAATAATTTTTATAGTTCAACAACAAAGATAATCCAGTTTTAAAATGGGCAAAGGACTTGAATAGACATTTCCCTAAAGAAGATATACAAATGGCCAATAAACATGAGAAGAAACTCAACATCATTAGTAATTACAGAAATGTAAATCAAAACCACAATAAGATACCACTTCACAGCTACCAATGGGATTAGGATTTAAAAAAAGGGGGGCGGGGTACGGGGAATGACAATTATTGGTGAAAATGTGGAGGAACCAGAACCCTCATACATTGCCGGTGGCAACAAAGTAAGATGGTGTAACCACTACGGGAAACAATTTGGCAGCTCCTCAAAAAGCGAAAGATAGAATGATCATATGATCCACGAATTCCACTCTTCCACATATATCCAAGAGAATTAAATGCCTATACTCAATGAAAATCTTGTACATGAATGCTCATCATAACATTTTTCATAATAGCTCCAAACTGGAAACAACTCAAATGTCCATCAACTGAAGAATGGATAAAATATGTGCTATATCCATACAACAGAATATTGTTCAGCCCTAAGAAGGAATGTAGTACTGACACCTGCTACAACATGGATGAACCGTGAAAATATTATGCAAAGTGAAAGCAGCCATAAAAGGCCACATAGTTTGTGATTCCATTTATATCGAATGCCCAGAATAGGTAAATCTATAGGGACAGAAAGTAAGTTAGTGGTTGCCAGAGGTAGGTGGGAGGGAAGAATGGGGAGGGACTGCTTAACAGTAAAGGGTTTTCTTTTCGGCCTGATGAAAATGCCCTGGAAGTAGACAGTGGTGATGGTTAGACAACTTTGTAAATGTACTAAAACTACTCAGCTGTGCTCTTTGAAAGGTTAAAATAGTAAATTTTATGTTACCTGAATTTTACCTCAATAAAAAAATTTTAGGGCTCCTGGGTGGCTCAGTCGTTAAGCGTCTGCCTTCGGCTCAGGTCATGATCCCAGGGTCCTGGGATCGAGCCCTGCATCAGGCTCCCTGCTCCGCGGGAAGCCTGCTTCTCCCTCTCCCACTCCCCCTGCTTGTGTTCCCTCTCTCGCTGTGTCTCTCTCTGTCAAATAAATAAAATCTTCAAAAAAATAAAAAAAAACTTTAAAGCAAAGGATAATTCTTTGAAAAAAATTTTAAATAAATATTTTTTTGAAGATATATACAAAAGTATTTAAAGATGAAACAATATCATAGTCTAGGATTTGCTTTAAAATACTCCAGGATTGTGTGTGTGAGGGAGGAGGATGGAATAAGGGAGACAATTCATCATGAGTAGCTAGATGATGGGGACATGAGTTTGTTACACTGTTCTTTTTCTATATTTGTTTGAAAATTTCCAGGTACATGTAAAAATCTAATGTGCAAGATAACATCGTTAAATCGCATAATTATTTCCCGTCTATTGACATATAGTAAAAGTTAATCATGTGTTTTAAGACTTCAATAAATTCATGGGCGCCTGGGTGGCTCAGTTGGTTGAGCGACTGCCTTCGGCTCAGGTCATGATCCTGGAGTCCCTGGATCGAGTCCCGCATTGGGTTCCCTGCTCGGTGGGGAGTCTGCTTCTCCCTCTGACCCTACCCCCTGTCAGGTGTTCTCTCTCTCTCTCTCTCTCTCATTCTCACTCTCTCAAATAAATAAATAAATTAAATATTTTTTAAAAATGTTTAAAAAAAGACTTCAATAAATTCAATTTTTTAAAAAGTTTTAGAATACTCATCAATTCTACTCCTATAAATACCCCAAAGAAAGTAGAGTAGGGGCGCCTGGGTGGCTCAGTCGCTAAGCATCTGCCTTCGATTCAGGTCATGACCCCAGGGTCCTGGGATCGAGACCCGCATCAGGCTCCCTGCTCAGCGGGAAGCCTGCTTCTCCCTCTCCCACTCCCCCTGCTTGTGTTCCCTCTCTCGCTGTGTCTCGCTCTGTCAAATAAATAAATAAAATCTTAAAAAAAAAGAAAGAAATTAAAGTATATGTCCACACAGAGTATAGGTGTACCCAGATGTTCACAGCAGCTTTATTTATAAAGTCAATTTTATAAAGCCAAAAACTGGAAACAACCCAAATGTAAATGTCCATCAACAAGCGAATGGACAAACTGCAGTTGTGTTGTATGGAATACTACTAAGTAATAAAATAGATGAACTTAGGAGTACCTGCAACAACATGGGTGATTCCTGCAAACACTGAGTGAATTAAGTCCTACATAAAAGACTACATGCTGTATAATTCCACTTACATGATATTCTAGAACTTGCAAAATATATGGTTTTAGAAGTCCAGAGAGTGATTTCCTCTGTAGGGGGGCAAGAAGAAGGGAGCAGCAGACGTCTCTAGGAAGAGCTGGAAATGTTTGGTTTCTCCAGTTCAAGTGCTGGACACGGGTGTGTTCACTTTGTGAAAATCTACCAGCCTGCATACTTATGACATCTTTCCCATCTAAACAGGAATAAATGCCCTATACCGTTAAGCCTGATCCATGTAGTGCATCTCAGCACCCACGCCCTGGCATTCCCCCGGGCTCTGGAAGGCACCGGCCTGGGCGATGCCCAGTCCCAAAAGCCTCTCCCTACAGTGCACCTTCTGGTGCGTCTGCAGGTGGACTCTGACTGAACCCCCTTCCCACACACGGCACAGAGACAGGGCTTCTCCCCTGTGTGCACCCTCTGGTGTCTCCCGAGGGCTAAATGGTGCCTGAAGTTCCTCTCACAAGCCCCACACCTCTAGGGCTGCTCTCCCGTGTGGAACCTCTGGTGGATGCCCAGATCCTTGCTCCGGCCGAACTGCTTCCCACAGGCCTCACGCCGGAATGGTCTCTCCCCAGTATGGACATGCTGGTGCAGGTAGAGGTTGGCTCTCTGGCTGAAACCCCAGCCACATGTGTCACACACATAGGCCTTGTCTCCTGCATGGTCTGCCAGTGTCGTGCCAACGCAGAGCACAAAGTGAAGGCCCGGCCACATACCTCACAAGCCTGGGGCTTCCTGTGTGGACGTTCTGGTGGGTCTGCAGGGCTGCCCTGCAGCTGAAGTCCTTGTCGCAAGTCTCGGCACCTGAAGGGCTCTCGCCCGTGTGGACACGCGAGTGGACGGACAGGTTGGAACTGCAGCTGAAGTCCTTCCCACATTCCTCACACGTGTGAGGTTTCTTTCCCATGTGGTCCTTCCTGTGCCTTCTCAGAGTGGATCCTGAGTTGGATACTCTGGAACGCTCCATGCTTTGGTAGGCCTTTTCTCTGGGAAGGAGCCTGGGAAAGTTAAGGTCTGCTGTCCTTGCCCTGAAGGCTCTTCCACGCCCATCGCATGGAGAGGGCTTCTCTCCTGTATGGGTTTGCTGGTGAAGTAGAAGGTTTCTGAGCTGCCTGAAGTCTTGGCCACACTGGGGACCGCTGTAGGGTTTTTCTCTTGGAGATGCCTGCCAAGGGAGAATCCCATCATTCTCATCCCTGACACCTGGGACAAAAAAAATTAGATGATGAAGTGAGCAGGGGTTTTGTCCAAGGCTGCACAGCGCATCTGGACACACTCTCAGGCAGTGCTGGTAAGGCCGAGAAGCTTCACAAAGTAGAGAAGTGTTGGGCTGCTGGTCTTTGTCCTTTTGACCTTGGGTTTTTCATTTTTGCTTCAGGGGTAAAGGGAACATACGGAGAACCGTTTCCTTAGTGAGGAAATGAAGTGTTACTAAAACACTTGATTAAACTGTGAACTACAAAGGTGTTAGTGTTGTTAAAGCATAATTATCAAAAGTTAAAAAGATAACTTTCACAAATATGAAGTAAACAGGGGCACCTAGCTGGCTTAGTTGGGAGGGCATGCAACTCTTGATCTCAGGGTTGTGAATTCAAGCCGTGTGTTGGGGGTAGAGCTTACTTCACACACACACACACACACACACACACACACACACACACACACACACCCCAAATATGGAGTGAACATCTGTCGAAAATTTTAATGAAGAACCAATAAGATGGTAAGGCTGGTTCTTAAGCATGTACGGAGCCTGAGCAGGTATTTGTCTCCAATCAAAAAATCTTTAAATATTTTCAATTAAATGAAAGGCATAAAAAGTCAAACAAGATACATTTTTAAAATTGTTACCCATCCCTTCATGGATTCATGGGTTACTGATGGTATTTACTCCTGGCTGACTGGCTCTCACCTGAATAGGAGCTTCTTGGCATTTCTTCCTCCATCCATACACCATCTTCTTGTTCAAAATGGAAAATCATTTCCAGTTTGAACAGCAGATGCCCTGCTTGAGGGGAAAGATATGTGGATTAGGGCCCTGCAGTGTGACTAAGGACCCTCACACAAGTCAAATCTAGGCCTTGGTATCTGTGAAGATCCTCTGAAGACTGAGAATAAACCCATTATACATTAATATCACATTTTGCATTTACTTATACACTTACAAATATGTATATATATTCCCTAAACAAGAAAAGTTCCAGAAATTCTTGGGAACTTCAGTGAAAAGACCCATTTGCAATATAAAACAGTAATAATGCTCAATGGGTTGAATAGGCAGTGATGAGGCCAGGGAAGTGCAGCCCCAAGTATGATTTGAAGAAACTTGTCAAAAATGCAGACTCCATCCCAAATCCACTGATTCAGTAGTGGTGATAGAAGCCAGGGTTGTAGGTTTTTTGCATAACCTTGTATTTTATAGAAAAGTAGCATTGTAGGTTTTTTGCATAACCTTGTATTTTATAGAAAAGTAGCAAGAGTAACACGAAGAACGCCCACAGAACCCTGAACCATATTCAACAGTTGTTATTGTTTGGCCCGTTTACTTTATTACTTTCTCTCTCTCTCCACATACACAGTTCTTTTCTAAAACCACGTGAGAGAAAGTTACAGGCCCATGGCTCTCTAGGACCCAGTTCTTAGTAGGTATTTCCTAAGAACAAGGACATTCTCTCCCATAACAACAGCACAGTCATCAAAATCAGGGGACTTAACATTGACACAGTATTTTACGTAATCCAGCTAATTTGCAAACGACGCCAATATGTCCCTTTTGGCACTCTTCCTGGACATTTTTTAGCATTGAATTTAGTTGTAATGTGTCTTTAATCTTCTTTAAGTTGGACAGGAACTGGCATTTCTAATGATCAGGTATTTTTCTGCACTCTCAAATCTGATACCCTCTGTCATAAGGGATCTGGAATATGTGGGTGCCCAAATGCTAATCCCCTGGGGATTTAATCCATTTGGTTGAACCCACTGTGAGAGTAGCAAATGGGTTCAGGAAGATGCTCTGCTCACCTAAGGAGATGAGATTCTCATAGTTCCAACATCACTTCTCTGTACAGGTGACTCTGAGAAGCCACTCCTCTTGGGCAAAGTCTGCAGCCATATCCTTGAATGTCACCAGCTGCTAAAATGACAGACATAGTCACACACAGACATACCCATTCCCACAGAGGAATGCAGTTGACAAGTACCAGTGAATCTTGATGGTTTCTAGGGTCCTGATTTTGGCAAACATCCATGCACCTGCTTACATTATATTTTGTAGAAGATGGAAAAGACATATGAGACACATTTAAAGCTCTCCAGCCCTTAAAGTTTCTTTGATGGGAAGACTCAAACTTCAACCATAGTACACCCAAAGCTACACAGTTCCAGAGGTGCTGCCCATACCACATTGTATGAAGCAGGAGAATAAGCTTGAGATTCAAAGTCCATAGTTTACATTAGAGTACACTCTTGATTTTGTACATTCTTTGGGATTGGACAAATGTATAATGATATGTATCCATTATTATGGTATCATACAGAGTATTTTCACTGCCCTAAAAATCCTCTGCACTCTTCCTGCTCACCACTTCCTGTCAACCCTGGTAACCACTGAGCTTTTTACTGTCCTCATAGGCTTTGACATACCTTCCACATCACAGTGACAAGCTGGCTTAAGAGGTCTGCCTCTTCCTTTCCAACCCCCAGATAGAAACTTTACAGTGGAGAAAACTGGGAGACCCTACACTAATTTTTAAAAAGATTTCATTTTATTTTATTTATATATAGAGAGAGTGCAAGCAGGAAGAGGGGCAGAGAGAGAGGGAGAGAGAGAATCCCAAGGAGACTGCACTGAGCATGGAGCCTGACACGGGCTTGATCCCAGGACCTTGAGACCATGACCTGAGCCAAAATCAAGAGTTGAACACTTAACTGACTGCCACCCAAGCACCCCAACCCTACATTAATTTAAGTCACCAAAGTTAATATCACTAGTAATGAAACAAATCAATATTATGTGCTATTTGATATGACACACTGAGGACACATCACTTCTGCATCACTTCTTGCCAAAAGTGTAAAACCTAAATCTAATCATGAAGAACTGTCAAATAAATCTTAACTGAGGAACAGTCTATAAAACAGCTTAGCCGGCACTCATCAAAAGTCATGACCAAGAAAGACAAACATTAAGGAAAGTGTTCCAGATTGGGGCGCCTGGGTGGCTCAGTCGTTAAGCATCTGCCTTCAGCTCAGGTCATGGTCCCAGGGTCCTGGGATCAAGTCCTGCATCGGGTTCCCTGCTCCGCGGGAAGCCTGCTTCTCCCTCCCCCACTCCCTCTGCTTGTGTTCCCTCTCTCGCTGTCTCTCTGTCAAATAAATTAATAAAATCTTTAAAAAAATAAAAGGAAAGTGTTCCAGATTGAAGAAGACTAAAGAGAGGTAACAAAGGGAAAAAGGCCATAAAGAAAGTAATTAAGACAATTGGCAAATTTTAATTATGGGTTGGAGATCAGACAATAGTATTGTATCAAGGTTAAATTTTCTAAATTATACTATGGTCATTTAAGGGGCTGTTCTTGCTTATAGAAGATGCATGCCAAAGTAATTAGAGGTAAAAGACAGATAATGTCCACAACTTAGGCTCAAATGATTCAGAAAATGATAAATACACAGAGATGCAATGATAAAGTAACTGTGACAAAAAGCTGGCAATTGATGAATATGAGTTAAGGCAATATTGGTGTTCTTTGTACTATTATTGCAATTCTGTAAATTTGATCTCATTTAAATTTTAAAATCCATTGCAGCAAAAAACAAAACCAAACAAAAACCTTAACAAGGCCTACAAAGCCCTCAAGAAAGGACAGTACTTCTCGGGGCACCTGGGTGGCTCAGTCGTTAGGCATCAACCTTCGGCTCAGGTCATGATCCTGGGGTCCTAGGATCGAGCCCCGCATCGGGCTCCCTGCTCAGCGGGAAGCCTGCTTCTCCCTCTCCCACTCCCCTTGCTTGTGTTCCCTCTCTCGCTGTGTCTCTCTCTGTCAAATAAATAAATAAAATCTTTAAAAAAAAAAAAAAGAAAGGACAGTACTTCTCAATGTACATGGTAGACACTGGGGCTTGTGGAAGAGATACTGGACCATTTGTGACCTAAATTAATGGAAAGTAGGGGCAAAAGTTAAGGTGTGCCAGGGCTCTGATAGGGTGGTGGCGTAGGGGGAGTGCATTGAGGAGGGAGAGTGGGCTCTCCTCTGGAGTATCCTAAAGCTGTGCCATGTTTCATGTTTGTCTTAGAGTCCTGGTGGGCTCTGCAAGGAAGTGAACAAACATGTCACCTAACTGGGGACAGGGATTACTGCACGAAAGAGGTTAAATCCCACTCACTGAGGGTCTTGCTGCCAGGAACCTGGGGGCCATTTTCTCCTCTCTTCACAGATCACTCAGGGCCAGCAGATTCCAAAGAGAGCAGAATAGGGAGCTGGGAGAAATGAGGATTGAGTCACATGCCAGAAATCCTCATACCCAGTCTGTGCAGATCCACCCTCACCTAAAAGGAAAATAAAAGCATCAATACAAAATCCAGAAATAAACCCACAATTATATGGCCAATTAATCTTCAATGAAGCAGGAAAGACTATCCAATGGGAAAAAGACAGTCTTTTCAACAAATGGTGTTGGGAAAACTGGACAGCAACATACAAAAGAATGAAACCGGACCACTTTCTTGCACCATACACAAAAATAAATTCAAAATGGATTAAAGATCTAAATGGAGACCTGAAACCATAAAAATCCTAGAAGAGAACATAGGCAGTAACTTCTTTAGCATCGACCATAGCAAGTTCTATCTAGATATGTCTCCTCAGGCAAGGAAACAAAAGCAAAAATAAACTATTGGGATTATATCAAAATAAAAAGCTTTTGCACAGCAAAGGAAACAATCAACAAAACCAAAAGACACTTATGGAGTGGGAGAAGATATTTGTAAATAACATATCCAATAAAGGGTTAGCATCCAAAATATATAAAGAACTTATAAAATTCAACATCAAAACACAAATAATCCAATTAACAAATGGGCAGAAGACATGAACAGATATTTCTCCAAAGACGACATACAGATGGCCAACAGACACATGAAAAGACGCTCAATATCACTCATTATCAGGGAAATGCAAATCAACAGTACAATGAGATCTCACTTCACACTTGTCAGAATGGCTAAAATCAACAACACAACAAACAACAAGCGTTGGTGAGGATGTGGAGAAAAAGGAACCCTTTTGCACTGTTGGTGGGAATGCAAACTGGTGTAGCCACTGCGGAAAACAGTATGGATGTTCCTCAAAAAGTTAAAAATAGAACTACCTTGTGATCCAGCAGTTACACTACTGGGTATTTATGCAAAGACTACAAGAACACTCATTCAAAGACACACCGGTACCCTGATGTTTATAGTAGCACTGTTTACAATAGGCAAGATATGGAAGCAGCCCAAGTGTCCATCAATTGATGAATGGATGAAGAAGAGGCAGTGTATATATATACACACACAATGGAATATTATTTAGCCATAAAAAGAATGAAATCTTGCCATTTGCAACGACATAGATGGAACTACAGAGTACAATGCTAAGCAAAATAAATCAGAGAAAAAGAAATACCATATGCTTTCACTCATGTAGAAATAAGAAACAAAACAAACAAGCAAAGGGGAAACAATAAGAGAGAGAAATCAAGAAACCAACTCAATTATAGAGAAGAAACTGATGGTTACCTGAGGGAAGGGGGATGGGGGAAGGATTAAATCGGTGATGGGCATTAACGAGCGCACCTGTAATGAGCACAAGGTGATATATGGAAGTATTAATCACTATATTGTACACCTGAAACTAATATAACACTGTATGTTAACTAACTGGAATTAAAAACTTGAAAAGCGTCAAGAACCAAAGTCCACCTGCAAGACCGTGAAGAAAGGAGAACACGCAAATCCTTCAATCTCTGCACTCATAGGGGCTTTGCAGAGATACAGCCAGGCTGTGATTCAGGGGTGGCCTGGGATACCAAATTCACAACTGGGGCACCTCCACCTTTAACATCTGGGGCTATAACTTCCACTGGGACAACAAAGTGAAAACAACACCTCTCTAGCCTTTCTGGCCAAGAGTATGGAGAATTCTCTGTTGAAGATATCTGTGCCGGGGCATCCACTTACTAACTCCTCCCTCATCGCCCAAACCCGAGAATGCACAGATCTAGCCACTCCCACCAACACCTAAGAACATGCAGCCCTAGACGGTCCCTCCAAACCCCTGTACCCTACCTCACTGTCCTCTCTCCACCAACCTGGGGTTGCCATGGCCCAGCTGCCACCCCAAACCAAAATGCCCGGGCGAGATTTATCCAAGGGCCCCTAGCTTCTGCCCACCCGTCCCCCAGCCCAAGGATGCATCACAGCTCACCAACCTGGGAACACGCAGTCGCAGCCAACCGTCGCATCTCAATAGAACCAAGAACCCCCCTATGTCGCCCCCCAGACCCCGCGAGTCCCGGACGTTCGGTTTTCCCTGGTCCCCCTTCGCACGACCCGGTACTTTCCCTATTGCCGCCGCCCTCAGCCCGTAAGACTGGGGGACTCACCTCTCCGGGCGACCGCCTGGGAGGTCTTGGGCAGGGAGGCCAGTACGAGACGTTCATGGGCCGCGTGCCCGGCAACGGCCCAGCCCACCCGCGCTGCAGACCGAGAAGGCCCTGCAGCTGGTGCCCCCGCGCGGGGGCCTGGCGGCTGGACCACAACTCCCAGAAGCCCCCGCGCAGGCCGGGGGCGCGCTCGGTACCCCTCCCTGAGGCGAGGCCCGCGTAGGTGAACCCAGAGTCTAAGCCGTGGTGGTCCCGCTCGTGGGGGCTGCACCCACCCTCCCAAGAATAGACACGTGCCTCCGCGGTCTACAATCAGATGTAAAAAGTGCCTGTAATTAGTCTGTTCAGACGCAGCTGTGTTTAAGCTTATATCCTTTATGTGAATATTTACGTCATTTTTTAAAAAGATTTTTATTTATTTATTTATTTGAGAGAGAGCGAGAATGAGAGAGAGAGCCCCAGAGCGGGCAGAATCAGAGGAAGAAGCAGACTCCCTGCTAAGCAGGGAGCCCGATGTGGGACTCAATTCTTGGACTCCAGGATCATGACCTGAGCTGAAGGCAGTCGCTTAACCAACTGAGCCACCCAGGCGCCCCTATTTATGTCAACTTAACCTGCTTTTTTTTTTAAATTATGTTAATCACTATACATTACATCATTAGTTTTTGATGTAGTGTTCCACGATTCATTGTTGCGTATAACACCCAGTGCTCCATGCAGTATGTGCCCTAATACCCATCACCAGGCTAACCCATCCCTCCACCCCCTCCCTTCTAGAACCCTCAGTTTGTTTCTCAGAGTCCGTAGTCTCTCATGGTTCGTCTCCCCCTCTAACTTCTTCCCCTTCATTTTTCCCTTCCTGCTTTTTTTTTTTAAACATATAATGTATTATTTGTTTCAGAGTTACAGGTCTGTGATTCAACAGTCCTATACAATTCACAGTGCTCACCATAGCACATACCCGCCCCTAACCTGCTTTTTAAATCAAATATATATTGAACACGAAGTGTTCTTCCATAATATTTTGTAAATTCTACATGCCACTTATGTAATTCTTATCTTCTCATTAGGTTGTTTCAAATTACTGGTATTACAACTGCCATCACCTGTGTTTGGCAGAGCTCAAAGGCAGGAAGAGGAGTAGGAAAACTTTATAGTGAAAAAGGGAAGCCTTCAGGAATACAGTGATTGGAGATTATTGGCATAGAAAAGCTGGAGGTGAGCTAAAGAGAAGCAGTGCATATTATATGACTGGTTTGGGATCGAATTTGGCTTTCTCTGGTTGGTCCTGAACTGGAAGCAGAGGGAAGAAAAAAAAAAAAAAGTGTGGGGGGAGCTAGCAGTCATTGTCCAAAGCCTGAATGTTGTGGGCTGATCACTGCCAAGGTTTTAGTTTGGTTTCCTGATTGGAAACTAGTTGGTTGCTGCAGAGTTTGTAGGTCAGAATTCTGTTGTCATATATGATCTGTTGTTGTCTGTTTGTATATCCAGTCTGTCAAGTTTAATGGTTTCAAACAACTATCTTTCATGGTTTCTCTGGGTCAGGAATTCTGGAACAATCTGGATGGACAGTTTTGGCTCAAATTTTTCATGATAGCTGAACCTGGAAGAGTGCAGAGTTCCCAAGCCACCGCGAGCTGGTGGGACATCTCTCTTATTTCATGTGATCTTAGGGTTTCTCCATGTGGTCTCCTTGTGTGGGCTAATTTGGGCTTCTTAGCATCATGGTAGCCTCAGACATCTTACACTGCAGTTCAGGGTTCTAAAGGCAAGAGTCCCAAGAAAGATCCAGATGGAAGCTCTATCACGTTTTACACCTAGCCTCAGAATCACATAGCATCATTTCCACTGTACTCACAATTTAAAAGGCCCATCCAGATTCAGTGGAAAGGGGAAATTGTCTCCACTTCCTGATGGGAAAGTGGCAAGGTTCTGGAAGACCATGTGGGACCAAAAATATAGTTGCACTCATTTTTGGAAAATACAATTTGCCATAAACTGTAAACAGATCGAAGCAGAGGAAAAAGTCTTAATTTTTGCTCAGCCATGAAGATTGGACATTGTTATTACAGAGCTGAAACCATTTGTAGTAGGTAGGAGTGATAAAAAAAATTATGATCTCTAAATAAATTTTCAGCAGGGTCAGGGAAGATCTAGCTCCACCGAACATATTTAAAGTGACAATGAGAGACAAAAATGAAGCTGTTTTCTGTTTACTCTCCTTGTCCAATATCTGTTCACTGTTACTATAGTTTTGTCATTTTGAAGCTGTTGAATAGAATCACACAAAATGTACCTTTTGATATTGGCTTTTATTCATTAAGCATAATGCCCTTAAGTTCCATCCAAGTTGTTGCATGTATCAATAGCTAACTCCATTTTATTGATGAGTATTATTCTATTGTGTGTATGTGTTCTGTGTTTTCTTAGATTCTGTGTTTGTCTTGTTTGGCATCTATTCACCACGGGGCCAATTGCATTAAGTATATTTTCTTATTTTCTGATTTTCTGTATTCTTGATCTGGCATGTGGGAGCCTTACAGATCTGGAGAGAGATTCCCTCCGAGGGCTAGCCAATTCTTAGAAATAGCAAGGGGCTTAGCAAGAAGCATGTCTTTTACATATAAATCAACCCCACCAGAGTCTATATATCCCAACCGTCTCCTTATCTACCTCAAGTCAATACTTCCTCTGCCCTAAATCATCTCAGAGCCAGATACCAGGCAACTAGAGACCACTGCTTTATTAAAATTCAACTGGGTAAAATTTAAAGATCTCCCTGGCTTTATTCAACATTCCTTAATTGGGTAGCATTCAGTATAGCAGATAAAAAGGAGTTCCAAAGAGCCATACAAAGCAAGAGATTTTATAGTCAGAAGGGAACAGGAACAAGGAAATTGTACTAGGCAATACATAAATAAATAAATAAATAAATAAATAAATAAATATCAGATTTGTTATTGCAAGGGTACTTTCCTTTAGGGGCTAGCAGGAGTCCATTAAGCAGATTACCTAATTAATGCTGATCAGGCAATTCCTGAATGACTGGTTTAAGATTCCATTTCTGGGAGAGCTACACACCTATCAGAATGGCTAAAATATTGTGACAACAGCAAATGTGGGTGAGGATGTGGAGAACTAGATCACCCATACATTGCAGTATATATAATAGAGTAATACAGTACATCCACTCTTGAAAATAGTTGGACAGTTTCTTATAAAACCCCAAATGCACTTACCATATGACTCAGCAATAGAACTCTTATGCATATGCATTTATCCCAGAGAACTGGAAACTGTGTTCACACAAAATCTCTACACGAATATTCATATTAATTGTATTCATTATAGCCCAAATTGGGAAATAATTCAGATATCCTTAAATGGAGGAATAGTTTTTTAAATTGTGGCACATTAAAAACAACAACAACAAAATAAACAAAAAAATTGTGGTATATTCACACCATGGAATACTATTCAACCATTGGTACATGCAACAACTTGGATGGATTTCAAGGCAATTATGCTAAAAAAAGAAAAGAAAAGAAAAGAAAAAAAAGCCAGTCACAAGATCTACATATTGTATGACTCCATTTATATAGCATTCTTGAAATTTAAAAAATTAGTGAAATGGTGAACAGATTAATAGTTGCAGGGCTTAAGGATGTGGGAAGGGGTGGGCATGGCTATAAAGGGGTAGCATCAAGGTAGCCTTGTGGTGATTAAACAGTTTTGTATATTGTGGTGGCTACAAGAAACTTAGACACATGATAAAATTCTACAGAATTGTTACATACAGAAATAAGTGCATATAAAACTGGTAAAATCTTGATAGTGGACTATAGTTATGCAAAATATTACCATTGAGGGTAACTGAGTGCAGAGTACATGGGATCTCCCTCTATGAATATAGATTGAAGAAAATGATTACCTTGAGCTTAGAAAATTATTTAAATTAAGTGATAATCAAAACAAAACATAAGAAACAGGATGAGGTAAATCTTACAGGGAAATTTATAGCCATAAATACATATTAGAAAAGAAATGGTAAAAATCAATGAAACAAAAATTCACCTAAATTTTAAAAATTGCATTAAATTAAACCAAAAGTTGAGTAAGAAAGTAATAAAAACAGAAAAATAAATAAATACATAAAATAGAAAAGAGCCACACAACAGACTACCAAGAAAGCGAGAAGTCATTCTTTCAAAAGATCAATAAACCACTACAAAAACTAATTAAGTGAAAAAGAAAAAGCACAAATAACCAGGAGCAGGAATATAATGTACAATATAATGCAGATTTTAGAAAGAATAAGATTACACCCACTGATCTGAAGGGATGTACAAGATAGACTGTTGCTTGAGCAAAGAAAGAGAAAACAATGCATAGCGTGGTGCCATTTATTTATTTATTTTTTAAAGATTTTATTTATTTATTTGAGAGAGCGAGAACGAGAGAGAGAGAGAGAGAGAGCACATGAGGGGGGGAGGGCCAGAGGGAGACAGACTCCCTGGTGGGCAGGGAGCCCAATGGGGGACACGATCCAGGGACTCCAGGATCATGACCTGAGCCGAAGGCAGTCGCTTAACCAACTGAGCCACCCAGGCACCCGCCATTTATTTTTTAAGTGATCTCTGCACCTAATGTGGGGCTCGAACTCATGATCTCCGAGATCAAGAGTCAGATGCTCCACCAACTGAGCCAGACAGTTGCCCCAAGCTTGGTGCTGTTTAAAAACTTGAATAAGGACAAATCAGATTGACGTGTGTGATGTTGATATGAGCAGGGAGAAAGCTATGAAAAGATAAATAAGCTTTGTTGAAATTATAGATATGTCTGAAAGAATTGAGATGGGGCATGATATTTATATGACCTCATTGTTTACTAGTTGTGAAAATATATTACTGCTGTAATTTTGGTAGAGGAATATAATAAAAGATACATTAAAAATGTATGCATATGTGGAAAAGAAAGGTTTGGAGTCACTCTTTCCTGTAAAAATTACCATAAATCAGTGTTCAAGAAAATCTCTCTCACAGGATCTGACTGAAGAGGAAATTATAGAAGAAGGAAAGATTTATGAGATCTTTGGTGAAGGACATTTCCTTCTGCAGAGTGGGACAACTTTCCCTGACAAACTAGGGTCTAATACTAGAGACATGGAAAAGCCCTAACCCCAGATACTTGACTATCTATAGTAATCTCCTAAACTTTATCCTTCTATTCATGTACTTTGGTCAAGTAACTGTGTCCCAGATGTGTTTATTTCTCACAAATGTTAATGACCATGAGGAGGAAAACGGTTTTCACGGTCAAATTAATTTGTGACGCACTGGAATATACAAGTTGAACTCTGAGCCTTACTGTTTTCTATTTCTGGACTATTCTACTGCATTGCCCTGTTTGTCTATCCTTAGACAAACACTACAGTCCTTATCGGCCTACCATAGCTTTATACCGAGGCCTGCCTCAGATGCCACAAGGCCTCCCATTTGTTCCTTTTCAATACTGATTAACTATTCTAGGTCTTTGGGTTTCTAGACAGTAGCTCCCCCCTTATCCATGGCTTCCCTTTCTGGGTTTCAGTTACCCATGGTCAAACCACAGTCCAGAAATAGCAAATGTAAAATTCCAGAAGTAAACACTTCGTAAGTTTCAACCCATGAGCTGTTCTGGGTAGTGTGATGAAGTCCCACCCAGGATGTGTCCCTTTGTCTACTGTATCCACACTGTCTGTGCCACCCACCTGTTAGTCACTTAGCTGTCTAGGTTCTCGGATCAGCTGTTATGGTATCACAGCACCTGTGGTCAAGTAGGCCTTATTTTACCTAATAGCCCCAAAGCACAAGAGTAGTGGTGCTGAATATTTGGATATGTCAACGAGAAGCTGTAAAGTACTTCCTTTAAGTGAAAAGGTGCAAGTTCTTGACTTAATAAGGAGAAAAAAGAAAAAAATTCAGTTCTTTTTTTTTGTTTGGTTTTAAGATTTTATTTATTTATTTGACAGAGAGAGTGCGAGAGCAGGAACACAAGCAGGGGGAGTGGGAGAGGGAGAAGCTGGAAAAATCCAGTTCTGTACTAGCTGCAGTTTCAGGCATTCACTGAGGGTCTTGGAACCATATCCCTTGCAGATAAGGCAGTGGGGCCGGGGGAGGACTACAGTACAAAGTTTAGAACAATTTTACCAATTAAAAAAAAATGCTGGTATTTGGACTGGGGTGGCACTGAATCTATAGATACTTTGGGGAAGATTGATTAAAGATACTGAGTTTCCAACCCACAGCCATGGTATCTCCATTTATTTAAATCTTGTCTAACTTCTCTCAGCAATGTTTTGTAGTTTTCCATATAAAAGTCTTTCATATCTTTTATTACACTACTCCTAAGTATTTTGTATTCTTTGATATTATTATAAACTGTATTTTTGTTTCATTTTACAATTGTACATTGCTCATATAAAGTGTTGCTTTCTTTATGGTCAATTGATTTTTTTTGAAAGATTTTACTAATTTGACAGGGAGAGAGAGCAGCAGAGGGAAAGGGAGAAGCAGACTCCCCACTAAACAGGAAGAAAGATGCAGACCTCAAACCCAGGACCCCGGGATCATGACCTGACCCAGAGGCAGATGCTTAACCGACTGAGCCACCCAGGCACCACATGGTCAATTGATTTTTTTTTTTTTTTATAAAAGCGCCAAAGCACCTCAATGGAGAAGAAAGTCTTTAACAAAAAGTACTGCAACAACTGAGTATGTGAGGGGAAACACACACACACACACAAAATCAAAGAAACAAAACAGAAACCCCACCTGAACTTTATCCCATACACAAATATTAATTCTAGGTGAATCACATACCTAAGTTAAAAGCTAAGACTATCAAGCATCTGGAAGAAAACAGGATTTTCTATATAATCTTTAATCATTGAGTTGCGTTTAGTTCTGCATTAAAGAACATAATCTGTATGATGTAAGTCTGTTGAAAGTTATTGAATCTTATTTTATGATTCAACATTGTAGTATTTCCTATTGTAGTATTTCCTATATAATTGAAAAGCAAGTATGTTCTGTGGTAGAGACTGTACAAAGACTATCATTAAATAAATATCAAGTAGGTAAAGTTGGTTGATAGTATTGTTTAAATCTTTTGCATTCAGGGCTTTTCAGGTTTTAATCCATCCAGAAAAGTCCTAAGTATCATTGTAGGCTCTCTCTTTTTTTTTTAAGATTTTATTTATTTATTTGAGAGAGAGAGAGAATGAGAGCTAGACAGCATGAGAGGGGGGAGGGTCAGAAGGAGAAGCAGACTCCCTGCTGAGCAGGGAGCCCGATGCGGGCCTCGATCCCGGGACTCCAGGATCATGACCCGAGCCGAAGGCAGTCGCCTAACCATCTGAGCCACCCAGGCGCCCTCTCATTTCTCTTTATCTCCATGGTCTCTTCATCTATATTCCTTCATCCTCATTCCTATAACATGCACTGCACTTAGGTATGGAAAGTCACACAGCAATCTGTTCACTTAAAAGGGGCTTATTCCCAACAGAAATTCAGTTCAATGCTTCTCTGTCTCCACCACTCTTAGATGGTCCCATATAAAAGTAGGATTTTTATATTGTCAAGGTTTTTCTTGCAGTCATGGCAGTGAATGTTTTTCATATTCGTCTAGAGCATATTGTTCTAATTGCAATCAAAGTTGAAATTCTGGGGAGCCTGGGTGGCTCAGATGGTTAAGCGTCTGCCTTCAGCTCAGGTCATGATCCCAGAGTCCTGGGATCGAGTCCCGCATCGGGCTCCCTGCTCCTTGGGAGCCTGCTTCTCCCTCTGCCTCTCTCTCGCTCTCTCTCTCTGTGTCTCTCACGAATAAATAAATAAAATCTTTAAAAAAAAATAACATTAGGATTATAGGGGCGCCTGGATGGCTCAGTCATTAAACATCTGCCTTCGGCTCAGGTCATGATCCCAGGGTCCTGGAATCTAGCCCAGCATCGGGCTCCCCGCTCCACGGGAAGCCTACTTTCCCTCTCCCACTCCCTCTGCATGTGATCCCTCTCTCGCTGTGTCTCTGTCAAAAAATAAATAAAATCTTTAAAAAAAAATACTGGTTAACATTAGGATTATAAATTCATAGAAATAGATAAGTTGCTGTCTCAGTCTGTGTCTAAAAGAGTTCCTAAAACCTTTCATAGATTTCAACTATTAAATATATATAATTTGGTGTCTCCCTTAATATAGCTGTGTGACATTTGAAGTAATTTTGGTGTAATTTAAAAATGTTCCTTTTGGAGGGGAATCTATTAAGATTTTACACCTCTGCTGTAGTCAATTCTGTGTCAGTTCAATTTCTTTATAAAAATCCCATACTTGGGGCGCCTGGGTGGCTCAGTTGTTAAGCATCTGCCTTTGGCTCAGGTCATGACCCCAGGGTCCTGGGATTGAGCCCCACATCGGGCTCCCTGCTCCGCGGGAAGCCTGCTTCTCCCTCTCCCACTCCCCCTGCTTGTGTTCCCTCTCTCGCTGTGTCCCTCTCTCTCTCTCTCTGTCAAATAAATAAGTAAATAAAATAAAATAAAAATCTCATACTTTGTCCAGACTTTCAGATATGGATAAAAATACCTATAGTACTTTTGTTTTTTAATTGTGATAAAATTCATATACTATTATATTCACCCTTTTAAAGTATACTCTTCAGTGGTTTTTAGTACATATTCACAAAGTTGTGCAAACTACACCACAAATCTCAGAACACTGTCATTAACCAAAAAGATAAAGTCCTTTTAATTAAATATGTAGTTGTTTCAATTTCACAATCCTATTCATCTATCATCCTTACTTCCCCACACAAATGACTAAGGTGTGTCTACTGTTATTTCTGTCAAATAATCAAATTTTCTATTTTAGTTTGTTTACTTATTTCATTTATTTCTGTATAAGAATGACTTTCTCTACCCACATTTTAGGCTTATTTTTGTTTATTTAAGCTCATTGAGTTCCATATTGAGTTTATTAATGACCTGTCTAGTATTTTAATATATACATGCAAACTGGTTTATACAATTTCCAATACAACCTGCCATTCACAGGTTTTTCAACTGTGTTCATTTTCATTCACACTTAAATAATATGTGTATCAAGGACTTAGTTCCCTGACCCATGTTAATCAATAGGGAGCACAGAGTTAAAATTCAAATATTTGATGGCTATTCTATTGTTACTGTTTTCTCCATTCTGGTCAAACACTGTGGCCTGTATGTTTTCTGGTTTTTTTTTGGGGGGGTGAGGAGGAACTAATTATTAGGAAAAATATCCTTATCTCTTCCTGTTTTTTGACAGCTGTGATTTCAACTACTCATCATTATATGCACAGGGTTTCAGACTGGCATTAATCTTTGGTGCAAGCATAGAAGATGAAGTCTGAAGAAAGACTATTCACAAATTCTTTTTCTTCCTTTTAAAATTCCATGCTGGATAATGAGTGATGAGAAAAGCATTCCTAGGGGCGCCTGGGTGGCTCAGTCGGTTAAAAAAGGTTGCCTTTGGCTCAGGTCATGATCCTGGAGTCCCAGGATTGAGCCCCACATCGGGGGGTCCCTGCTCAGCGGGGAGCCTGCTTCTCCCTCTGCCCCTCACCCTGCTTGTGCTCTCTCTCTCAAATAAATAAAATAAAAATCTTAAAAAAAAAGCTTTCCTATACTAATTACGTTCATTTCTCTCTTTTTTTTCATTAGGAATTCTTTGATTTAGACAAAGGTAAGCAACATGGCTAAAATCCTTTCCACAAATAGGAGCACCTGGCTGGCTCAGTCGGAAGAGTGTGTGTCTCTTGATTTCAGGGTCATGAGTTCAAGCCCCACATTGGGTATAGAGATTACTTAAATAAACTTAAAAAAAATCCTTTCCATGAATAATAATGAAGATAACTATGAAAATGAGTACCAATGATAATAGTGGACAACTTTTACTAAACATTTACTAGGTAACAGGAATAGTTCTAAGCACTTTACATTTATTAATTCATTGAATCCTCACAACAAACAAATACATACAGCATGATTATCTTAATAATATGTAAGAAATAAATTGCCACTAACATATAAAAGTAAAAAGTAAAAACAAAACAAAACTAGAAGGATAAACAACACTTTGATAATAGTGGTTCATTATCTTTCTAGCATGAGAGAGGGGTGGATAAAAAGGAACAAAACAGTTTAAAGGGAGAAAATGCGTATAATTTCAGCAATAAATAGATGTTTTAAAAGAAAAACAAACATTCAAAGATAAATTTGGGGTCATAGTATTCAGGGAATATTTCATAACTGCAAATGTTTAGATGCAAACAGAACATGAGTAATAAAGTCATTTTGAAAAGTCATTAAGTATATATAATTCATTTCAAAAATCTATATTTATTGAAATGGCAACCATATTTTTTGGCATGATCAAAACAGGTGAAGGGATAACATGCATGCATACCATGACTTTAAAAACAAAGTCTGGGAGGTTTGCTCTATCAACTTACGAGTAGTCATTGATAGTTGCTATGATTACTGTTAATCATAATTGCTGGTTTTCTGATTTTCTGTTTTGTGTAAGAAAATACAAATTTGTGAAACGAAACACAAGATTAATACTGACTTCAAAAACAAGGTTATAACTCTACAATTAGAAACTACAAAATCTCACAATTTTAAACAGTGTGATATTGGTGTAAGCACAAATACATAGATCAGAGAAGAAAAAAATACAAGCAAATATAAACAAGAATATAATGTCTCACCAAGAAGGCAGAATGAAATAATAGGCAAGAAAAGAATTACTGAACTGCCCTTAGTACAAGATTGGGGAACGGGGATGGGTAATGTCAATTTAGAATCTTAATTCATAACTTAGAGTGAAAAACATTTGAATTAAAAAGAAATATAAAATAAAATTTAAAAACAAAAACTAGTGAAAGCGTAACTATCAAACGTGAATTTTTTTTGTTTAAAATATTAGGAAGGTAACAGGTGCTTTAACTTTTATTACTCATCAGTATGAATTCCCTGATGACGAATGAGATCTGAGCCACTACTAAATGCCTTCCCGCATTCCTTACAGTTATAGGGCTTTTCACCAGTGTGAATTCTCAGATGTCGTGTAAGGTTTGAACATTTATTAAAGGCCTTTCCACATTCACTACATTCATACGGTTTTTCATCTGTATGTATTCTCTGATGTTGAAAAAGTTGTGAGTTCTGAGTAAAGGCCTTCCCACATTCAAGACATTCAAAGGGTTTCTCACCGGCATGAATTCTCTGATGTTGACGAAGTTGTGAGCTCTGAGTAAAAGCTTTCCCACATTCCTTACAATCATAGGGTTTCTCCCCAGTGTGAATTCTCTGATGATTAGTAAGCGCTGAGCCACTACTAAAGGCTTTGCCACATTCCTTGCACTCATACGGTTTTTCACCAGTATGAATTCTCTGATGCTGAACAAGCTTTGAGCTCTGAGTAAAAGCTTTGCCACATTCTTTACATTCATAGGGTTTCTCACCAGTATGAATTCTCACATGTTGAAAAAGTTGTGAGCTCTTAGTAAAGGCTTTCCCACATACTTTACATTCATAGGGTTTCTCACCAGTGTGAATTCTCTGATGGTCAATAAGATTTGAGCAATAGCTAAAGGCCTTCCCACATTCCTTACATTCATAGGGCTTCTTACCAGTATGAATTCTCTGATGCTGAGAAAGGTATGAGCTACAACTGAAAGCCTTGCCACATTCCTTACATTCAAATGGTTTTTCACCAGTATGAATTTTCAGATGTCGAGTAACATGGGAGCCACAACTAAAGAATTTCCCACACTCCTTACATTCATAAGATTTTTCACCAATATGAATTCTCTGATGTTGAATAAACTGTGAATTCTGACTAAAGACCTTTCCACATTTCTTACATTCATAGGGTTTCTCTTCATTGTTAATTATTTGCTGTAGAGTAAAGAATGTCTGTTGAATAAATGTGGGCATGTATTCATGAGTGAGTATTTCTTGGCTGAAATGCCCACTTTGATATCCCAGTTGTTTTTCAAAGTGGTTTCTATATTCCACAATGTCTCTAAAACTGGAGTACTCAAGGCCATGCTTTGTAAGCCCCATTATCTCCCTCTGGCAAGATTCTATTTCATAAACTTCCTTCTTCAGAGACAGTAACTTGGTTTCACACATTGATTCCAGATCTGAAAGAAAATGAAATGTTAAATATTCTTACCACCCCACTCCCACCACCCATTTATGAAAACTTAAACTTTTATAATAGAAATGGAAAAATTAAAGTGAAAAGAGTATCTGGTGGTAAGTGACATATAGTTCTCAAGTATATCTGTTTAACCTGAAGATAGACCCCAAAACTGTACTGAAATTAATGAGATATAATGCAAAATGTGAGGGAGGAGACTACAGAAAAAGGAAACCACAATGATTCTCAAATATTGATGTGGCTCAGAATCATAAGGAAAGGAAGATAAATATACACTACCTGGGCATATGAAAAGATGACAAGTCCTATATACATCTATACAAGCATGCATGTATGAACACGTAAGAAACCATCATACTATACGTATCACAAAAAGTGGATAATTTGCTGACCTCCATTAAAGGTTTCTGGAGAGGAACAAATGCACATAGGGGAAGATTTCTGGGCTCTGTAGTATGATAAAGAATAAATTTGGTCTTTGTCCTTGGTTTCTAACACAGAGCTTCAAAAACCCTTGGAACTTCCTGAGTGATAGGAGTGTTTTTTGCTAGGCCAATGAGGTGACTCACGGCAGATCCCTAGATAGCTGCAGGATGGGGGACTGGTCACCAGAAAGACCTAGCATGTTATTAGAGGGTTGGGACCTTCAGCTACTGGCCTTCTGGGGAGGAGAGAAGAGCCAGAGATTGAGTGGCCAATGACTCACTCAATCATGCCAGTGTGAGTAAATCCCAATAAAAACTCTGTACACCAAAGCTCAGTGGACCTTTCTGGTTGGTGAACATACTTGATGTGCCAGGTAGGTGACACACTTTGATTCCACAGGGAGATGGCGTGGAACCTCTGTATCGGGAAGCTTACTAGACCTTGCCCTAAAATGTATCCTTCAGAGTAAAACTGCAATTATAAGTATAAAGCTTTCTAGAGTTCTGTGAATCATTCTAGCAAATTATTAACCTTGCAGGAGCTGTGGAAATCCCCAAATTTATAGCCAGTTGCTCAGAAGTGTAAGTGTCTAAGAACTCTGAGACTTGCAGCTGGCATCTAAAAGTGAGAGCAGGGGCGCCTGCGGGGCTCAGTCGGTGAAGCGTCTGCCTTCGACTCAGGTCATGATCCCAGGGTCCTGGGATCGAGCTCAGTGGGGAGTCTGCTTCTCCCTCTCCCCCCACTCGTGCTTGCTCTCTCTCTCTCTCTCAAATAAATACATAAAATCTTTAAAAAAGTAAAATAAAATAAAGCGAGGACAGTCTTGTGTACAGCTCTGCTATTAATCCGTAGGGTCTATGCTAACTCTGGGCAGTTAGGGTCAGAACTGCAGCACTCCCAGTTGTGATGAAAACTGAATAGGTTCCAAAGTAAGGATAGACTGGCCAAAATTTGAAAGAGATTACAGAGGGCTAGCCACAAAGGGGCAGAGCCTGGAGTCAGTCTAAGGTATTGAACTAAATTGACGTGAGTAGTAGATAGGGAAGACTCAGAATATGTTCTGTTCTGGTGATTCAGTAAAAATACTGTTTGCCTTGGAATTTTGTGATGCTGATCTTGGGAGAAGAGACTTACTCATGTACCACTGCAGTGGCTGAAAAGGAGGCAGCTAACGTTTAAGGCAAACAGGAAGAAAATAAGACACGGTGGAAAGTACTGTCATGGAAAAATGACAAGTGGAAGCAAGCTGATAAGAGTGGAATTCCAACTCACAGTTACTCACTATATGTTCCTGGGCAATTATTTAACCTAAGTCCCCATTTCCTCATCTGCAAAAGGGAGATCATCTTTACCTCATGATTCCTGGGAGGGAAAAGAATAATGCCTGTAAATGTCTTTGAGTCAAGCGTTCAGTATTTGATAGCTATTATTACGAAAGAATTTCTTACCAAAAATGGGGATTTTAGGCAAATTAAATGGTTTGAAGACATCAAAATGGAGCCTACTGGAACAACTGAAGCCAGAAACAAGGAATTCTTTCCAGCATAATCTTTTTTCTCCTCTCCCCATAGGATATTTCAGCAATTTCCATAGAGTTAAGCTCCTAAGTAACTTTTAAAACTATCCACTTCTATGTCCACTGCCAATGCCCTCTCTTCCAAACCAGAATCATCTCAGGCCCATCTCCCCACCAAGTTCTCACACTCTTTAATCTATTCAGCAACCAAAATTAATGTGGCCTGGCCTTCCACTGCTCGAAATCAAACTCCTCACACTCACTGGCAAAGACCAACTGATCTCCAATCCTGACTCACACTCCACGCTTGCTTGCTCACCAGCCCAGTAACCCTCCCTTTCTTTCAGTTCTTCAAACACACCAACCTTTCCCCTCCTAGAAGGGCTTTCGCAGGGGTTCTTCCCTCCACCTGGAGTTTTCTTTTCTTTTTTTTTTTTTTTAAGATTTTATTTATTTATTTGAGAGAGAGAGAGAGCATGCACAAGTGGGGGGGCAAAGGGAAAGGGAGAAGCAGCCTCCCCACTGAGTGGGGAGCCCGATGTGGGCCTCGATCCCAGGACCCTGGATTCATGACCTGAGCCGAAGGCAGACACAACCGACTGAGCCACCCAGGCACCCTGGAGTTTTCTTAATACATTAAATAGTAAGACCTAATACTGAACCTAGTACTATAGCAATTCTGAAATATTGATGAGCACAAATAATTTTTTAATATGTCTACATTAACAGTAAGATGATATGAAAATATCTGTGATTTCCATCCATGTCAAAGTCACAGGAACTATACAATACTGCTATGGTTTGTTCCATACACCACAGTAGGAAGATATGCAATTTTCAATTTGAGGTTAGTTAAATATAAAGTATTTTGTTCTTCTCTTTCAAGCTCAAAGACTCCCTAAATTTTATTCAAAAGAATCCAAAATTAGCAACCTCCTTAAAAACATGATGTCACTCTTCCGCTCAAATCATCTCATTCAGAATAGAATTCAAAGCCCATACCAAGGCCCACAAGACCCCAAGTCATCTGCAGGCACACCCCACCTCTCACGTGCACCTAGCACACAAACACACAAACACACGTACATCCTGCTACTTTGCTGATCTCCTTTCCTACAAGTCCCTCTTTGCTTCTTCTGTTCCAATCACAGTGGTAGATGCCAAAAAGCCCCTAATTCAGGGACTTTGTTCTTCCTTTTCCTTCTGCCTGAATCTCTTCTACCAGATATTTACAACACTTGTTCTCCCTCGCTTCCTTCAGGTTTTGGTTAAATTATCACCTCATCAAAGAGGCCTTCTCTAACCTCCCTTCACACCACTTACCACCATCTGACATTATAAACATATCTTTTTTTCTCTCTCACCTTCTAGAACATAGGCTCCAGAAGAGCAAAACTCTGAATGTTTTATTCAATGCTGTACTCCCAGCATTGGTCCCACTGGGACCAATACTTACTATACAGTAATGCTCTTCTGGAGCATTTAGGATAAGGTAAACACTTTATCCTAAATCTCGCCTCCTCTGATACCTCTTCCTTTCCATTATAGGCCTTTTCATTTTCCCCAACATTATCATCATAGGAGGTGACTGCAATCACTTGCAAGACTCCCAACTATTTATTCAGTATGGATTTTCCACTTCTGCATATTTAGCCACTGACTTTCTGCTAAGCCCCCTGATTCTCTTTACTAGATTCTACTTTGTAGAAATTATTCATGGATATATCTTAGCACTACTTTTTGACTTCCAAGTTTTTTTTTTTTTTTAAGATTTTATTTATTCATTTGACAGAGAGAGACAAAGCGAGAGAAGGAACACAAGCAGGGGGAGTGGGAGAGGGAGAAGCAGACTCCCCACGGAGCAGGGAGCCTGATGCTGGGCTCGATCCCAGGACCTTGGGATCATGACCTGAGCCGAAGGTAGACGCTTAATTACTGAGCCACCCAGGCACCCCTGACTCCCAAGTTCTTAATAGGTGACATGATTAGCAAATGACAGCACCTGGCAGGCTCTCTTGCACAAATCAGTAAATGAAAAACACTGGGTAAAGAAATAATGCACAACAAACTGGTTAAACAAGTCACTGGCAAGTAATATTGATGAAGACCAGTACTTGGAGGAGGGGCTGTGCATACACATGCATGCATGCACACACAGAAAACATTGAAGAGGAAGAAAAGCCAACAAGGAACTGAATCTAAAATACGGGTAAAAGAGTTTTATTGGAGGGGAAGTGAAGGGCTCACCCTACTTGAAATTATGAGGGTTGCTGGAGAAGAGTAGCAGAAAGAGTAGTAAGTGAGAGAAGGAATGAAACAGGTCATTTGTAAACTCATGCTAAGAGGACTTGGTTTTTCCAACAAGCCTAGATAACATCTCAAAGGTGCTGAGTTTACCTGTAGTGCCTTGCTCCTGCCCAATCATTTCTCACTCACCTGAACACAGGCCTCTTGTCAGCTCTCTGCCAACCATCCAGGGCTCTTTTCCTTGTTCCAATAAGGAGATAACTTGAGGCTTAGGAATGTAAAGTCCTGCTCACAAGAAAAGATATGGGACATGGTTATGCGGTGGGTAAACCAGATCCAGAAATCAGATCCAGTCCCTTGATGACAAAAGAGGAGATGCCACTACAGGAACAGCCAAAGAAAGAGGACGAAGCTTCTGCCACAGTCACTGGAGTTGCCCATTTCCAACTCTTCCTTTTCATTGCAGCTCAAACCACTTATTTGGGAATAGGGAGCAGAAATTCAGCCGGTAACTTGAAAAGCAGCTGGGAAATTCACTGTGGAAGAATCATTCCAGAGAAGAACTCTAAATTACTGGTATAGAAGCCCTTACCCATTGACAGCAGATTGCTATAGTTCTCCAACATCACATCTCTGTACAAGTCCCTCTGACCAGGGTCCAGGCACTCCCACTCCTCCTGTGAGAAGTCTACAGACACATCAGTGAACACCACTGATCCCTAAAACAACAAACATATGTATTACTTGTATAATAAAAGAAATAATTCAGAGACTATGGCACTTGTATTATGCGGTAAAGCAAATGAGTGACTGTATTGGTATCACTCAGAATCAGTACCTATGGATCTTAAAAATAGACGCAAGAGTAATTAGTTTATTTTATAATAACATATCTAGAGGGTGTCTGGCTGGCTTAGTTGGTAGAGCATGTGGGGACCCTTGATCTCGGGGTTTTAAGTTTGAGCCCTATGTTGGGTATAGAGGTTACACCCAAAAATAAAATCTTAAAATCTATGAATAAACTTAACCAAAGATGTGAAAGACCCTTAGGTTCCTTCTATAAATTGGGTATTGTAACTATAAAACACTGATGAAAGAAATTGCAGACAACATAAATAAATGGAGACATTCCATGCTCATGGACTGGAAGAACAAATACTGTTAAAATGTCTATAGTATCCAGGGGCGCCTGGGTGGCTCAGTCGTTAAGTGGCTGCCTCCAGCTCAGGTCATGATCCCAGGGTCCTGGGATCAAGCCCTGCATCGGGCTCTCTGCTCAGTGGGAGGCCTGCTTCTCCCTCTCCCATTCCCCCTGCTTGTGTTCCCTCTCTCGCTGTCTCTCTGTTAAATAAATAAATAAAATCTTTTAAAAAAATGTCTACAGTATCCAAAGCAATCTACAGATTTAATGTAATCCCTATCAAAATACCAACAGTATTTTTCACAGAACTAAAATAAACATTCCTAAATTTTGTATGGAACCACAAAACGCTCAGAATAGCCAAAGCAATCTTGAAAAGGAAAAAAAAAACTGGAGGTATCACAATTCCAGACTTCAAGTTAAATTATAAAGCTGTAATAAAACAATATGGAACGGACACAAAAATAGACACATAGATCAACGGAACAGAACAGAAAGCCCAGAAATAAACCTACAATTATGTGGCCAATTAATCTTTGACAAAAGAGTAAAGAATATACAATGGGGAAGAGATAGTCTCTTCAATAAATGGTGTTAGGAAGACTCAACAGCTACTTGCAGAAGAATGAAACTGGACCACTTTCCTACATGATACACAAAAATAAATTCAAAATGAATTAAAGACCTAAATGTGAGACCTAAAACCATCAAAATCCTAGGAGAAGCAGTAACTTCTCTGACATCGGCTATAACATCATCTTTCTAGATATGTCTCCTGAGACCAGGGAAATAAAAGAAAAAATAAACTATTGGGACTATGTCAAAATAAAAAGTTTCTGCACAGCAAAGGAAACGATCAACAAAATTAAAAGGCAACCTACTGAATGGGAGAAGATATTTGCAAATGACATATCTGATAAAGGGTTAGTCTCCAAAATATATAAAGGACTGATACAACTCAACACCCAAAAACAAATAATCCAATTAAAAAATGGGCAAAAGACATGAACATGAACATTCCTCCAAGGAAGACATACAGATGGCCAACAGACACAAGAAAAGATGTTCAACATCACCCATCATCAGGGAAATGCAAATCAAAACCACAATGAGATATCACCTCACACCTGTCAGAATGGCTAAAATGAACAACACAAGAAACAACAGGTGTTGGTGAGGATGTGGAGAACAAGGAACGTTCTTGCACTTGGTGGGAATGCAAACCGGTGCAGCCACTGTGGAAGACAGTTTGGAAGTTCCTCAAAAAATTAAAAATACAACTACCCTATGATCCAGTAATTGCATTACTGAATACTAATTCAAAGGGATACATGTACCCCTATGCTTATATAGCAGCATTATTTACAATACCCAAATTATAGAAGGAACCTAAGTGTCCACTGATAGGTGAATGGATAAAGATGTGGTATTTATACAGACAATGGAATATTATTCAGCCATAAAAAGAATGAAATCTTGCCACTGCAACAACATGGATGGATCTAGAGAGTATAATGCTAAGCAAAATAAGTAAGTCAGAGAAAGACAAATACCATATAATTTCACTCATATGTCAAATTTAAAAAATAAAACAAACCAACAAAGGAAAAAGAGAAAGAAAAAAAAAAAACCAAAAAAAAAAAAAAAAAAAAAAGAGACTCTTAACTATAGAGAAACAGATGGTTACCAGAGTGGAGGTGGTCGGGGGAATGGGTGAAATAAATGAAGGGGATTAAGAGCACACTTATCTCGATGAGCACTGAGTAATATATGGAATTGTTGAATCACTATATTGTACACCTGAAACGAATATAACATTGTATGTTAACTAGAACAAAAAGGTTAATCAGTTTATTTTATATTGAAAACAAACAAGTTCCTGACTTTACCTATTGAAAAGGTCTACAAATAATAATTCATCCAGTAGAAATAAGCACCCCTGGTATCTAGATTGTAGTCCCTAAGTATTATATTCAAATAAAAGGAACCAAGATCTTTTGGGGAAAGAGATGATTTCAGGATTGAGTCAGAAATGCCAGGATAAGACTGAACATTCTGTTATATCAGAAAGCAAGGGAGCTATCAAAAACTGTTAGAATGATGTTACATGGACCCAGGCACCAACTTGAAGAGCCTCTCATTGGCTAAAAATGGTATAATTTGAGGATCCAGTATAATGGACCTATAGATAAAAAAATGTTTAAATCATGAGCTCCTATCAACAATGAATAAAATACTACTGGTCACCCTTTTAGGATTCTAAGAAACCAACTCATTATTCAAATATTCTTTCCTAGACAGACTATCTTTCAGGGTAACCAAACAGTTGATGAGAAGTTTTACTTTATAAAGAGTATTTCAGGGGCGCCTGGGTGGCTGTCCATTAGGTGTCTGCCTTTGACTCAGGTCATGATCCCAGGGTCCTGGGATGGAGCCCCACCACATCGGGCTCCCTGCTCAGCGGGGAGTCTGCTTCTCCCTCTCCCTCTGCCTCTCTCCCCAGCACTCCCTCTCTCTCAAATAAATCAAATCTTTAAAAAATAAAAATAACAAACAAAGAGTATTTCAGCTAATCTATGAAGGAGGAATGACAGAATTAAAATATCATTCTGCAACCTCTAATCTAGACAGTAATCACCAATGATGGATAACATTACAAAAAGAAAGAGTACCAGATATAATGTGCCTCCTGATGGAATCACATATCACCATGTGTGACATATTCACGACAAAAAAAAAAAATCTCAACTGAATCTGATCAAGCATCTAGACTTAACTACCAATTTTCAGGAAACAGTTAAATGATGCCACAGAGATGCAATCAGCAAAATCCAAACAGTGGACAAATGAACTACTTTTTTTCTTTTCTAACAAAAACATACACAGAAAGAAAATAGATGGAAGGGGTACCTGAAAAATAAGAGACTCAAAAGACTTCAATGACTGCAGTGCACAGTCCTTATTTGGATTCTAATCCAAATAAACAATTAAAGAATTCAAAATTTGAACACTGGCTAGATATTGATGATATTAACAAATTATTTTTCTAACTTTTCTAGAGGCAATAATGGCATAATGGTTGTTTCCAAAAATAATCCTTGTCTTTTAGAAATACATACCAATTTGTATTTGCTTCAAAATAACCCTGTGTGTAGAAGTGAGGGTAGGGTAGTGTGCAAGGAAGAAACAGGTATCAGTATAAATGAAACAAGACTGACTTGGATTTGAAGCTGAATGGTGAGTATATGGTAGTTCATAATTCCTCTACTTCCCTATGTCTGAAATTTATTATTATAAAGTTTTTTTAAAGGGGGTTGGTAGAGAATAGAATATCTGCAAGGCTCTACTCATGAATTGCACTGATTTAAACAAAATTGTGATATAACTCTGTTGTGGGAAAAGGAAGTAGAGTGTGATATAGCAAATCTAAATCCACACATACCTTGCAAAAAAATAACTACAAAATGTCTAAAAATTTGGTTAATCAAGAAACAGCAATATAGGAATATTAATTAAAATAATGGATATATTCTATTGTAATCAGCTAAAAGAGATGCAGGTATCTCCCTTCAGGGATTATCTTTATTTCTGAGATAAAGAAAACTGGTGATTCCTATGGAAATTCCTCATGACCCACACTTCCTGTCCAACTTCAAACTGAACTTCGTTCATGGATGCCCTAAAAGTCACAGAGATCTGTCGGGATCAGCTACTGAGCCCACAATCTTCCGAGCTCATAAACCAGGAGGTCTTGCAACAGTCTAACATTTGGAACTACCAACATCACTTCCTATACTATCTCACTGGTCAATACCGATCTGTAGAACATACCCATGTTTGCTCCCAACTAAGCAACTTACGCATCTCCACCTCATCAAATCACCGTCTGGAAAGCATAAGTTCATTCTACAAATCTACTCTCATTTCCTTTCCATCATAGCTCTTGGGAGAGGGCTGAGAAAAGAGATGCCAGGTGAAAATATTAATGCTGGGTCAAAAAAAAAAGGGCACTTAAGAATGGTAAAGGATTATCTGGTTAGACTGAGGGGAAAAGGAGTCCAAGGATCCTGAAGGGGAAACCTGATAGCCAAAGATGTCAGGAGTAGGAAAACAAATACTCAAATGACCATTAAAAACTTTTTTTTTTTTAATTTGAAACTAAATGTCAGGAAGGTAAGAAAAAGCATCAACTCACCTGGGCCATGGCTTTCAGTATTGCAGAAGAGGATCAGTCCTCCTTGGGGCTGTTTTCCTGAGAAAGGATAGTATTCTGAGAAAGCAGGACTGGGGAAGCAAAGAAATGCTCTAGAAACCACATTGGCTTTACAGCTTTCAGTTGACCACCCTGGGTCTTATGATGTAACTGTGGTCAGTGGGAGGACGGGATGAATTCTACTTCTTCAACCCCAGAAGCCCCAGGCTTTAGCTATAGTAAAATGGATCCTGGCTGGTGGATTCAAAGGAATACAGACTCAGATTCCCTCTCCTTCATCTGATTAACCCAGGTTCTTGCCTCATCCAAGTGATTCAGGCCAGACCTTGTCCCACTTCAGTAAACCCAAGACAGAGCTTCTTTGACCTGCCTGAGGAGATCCTCCCCTGCAGCCCTCACTCAGGTCCTCAGGCAAATTCACCCAAATGGTACCCTTGGTCCAGGAACCCAGTATGCTCTGATCAGAAGGACTAAGACTTCCCTAATGAAGTCTTCTCACTTCCCAAGCCCAAGACAGTCTGTCAACTCCCATCCCCGCAGAACTCCTTACCTCAGCCTTTCACAGACACACTCCTCATTCTTTTTTTTTTTCCCCAAAGATTTTATTTATTTATTTGAGAGAGAGAGAGAGAGAGAGAGAGAGAGAGCACAAGAGGGGGGAGGGTCAGAGGGAGAAGCAGACTCCCTGCTGAGCAGGGAGCCTGATGTGGAACTCGATCCCAGGACTCCAGGATCATGACCTGAGCCGAAGGCAGTCGCTTAACCAACTGAGCCACCCAGGTGCCCCCACACGCCTCATTCTTACCCTGTAGCTCTGTTTTTCTTTAAAAAAAAAATAATAATAATAACTTTGCTAATATGTTTTTGCCATGCAAAACAAAGTGTCAACTTTTATAGCTTTGGGCTAAGAAGATTTTTCTTACCTATCCATATTTATATAAATTTCTCTGTTTAGGGGTGCCTGGGTGGCTCAGTCGTTAAGCGTCTGCCTTCGGCTCAGGTCATGATCCCAGGGTCCTGGGATCGAGCCCCGCATCGGGCTCCCTGCTCGGTGGGAAGCCTGCTTCTCCCTCTCCCAA